AGTCACATTATTGCAGTGACTATTTTTCAGTGTGAGAGTAGCAGAAAAATTCTAAATTATAGTATTTCTTAGTATTGCAAATAGTCTTGGCAATAGTTTCCTTGTGTGTCCTTTTTGTTGCACCATTAAATATCAAGTGTGTTTTAAATCTGAGGGTAAGACATTTCATCACTCTGTTCCATCATTTCTCAATGTTGTGATTTGAAACCTCCTAAAACAGCGAGTCTCAACCTTCATAATGCTGTGACCCCTTAATACAGTTCCTCATGTTGTGGTGACCCCCAATCATAAAATTATTTTCACTGCTACTTCAGAATTGTCATTTTGCTACTGTTACAAATCATCATGTAAATATCTGATATGCAGGATGCATCTTCATTCACCGGACCAAATTTGGCACAAATACCTGATATGCCCAAATTTGAATACTGCTGGTTTTTTTTTTTTGGGGGGGGGGGAGTTGGTTTTGTCATTTGGGAGTTGTAGTTGCTGGGATTGATAGTTCACGTACAATCAAAGAACACTCTGAACTCCACCAGCAATTGAACCAAACTTGGCAAACAGAATGCCCATGACCAACAGAAAATATTGGAAAGGTTTGGTGGGCATTGACCTTGAGTTTTGGAGTTGTAGTTTACCTATATCCAGAGACCACTGTGGACTCAACCAATGATGGATCTGGACCAAATTTGGCATGTATACTCAATATGCCCAAATGTGAATTCTGGTGGAATGTGGGGGGAAACAGACCTTGACATTTGGGAGTTGTAATTGCTGGGATTTATAGTTAACCTACAATCAAAGAGTATTCTGAACCCCACCAATGATAGCATTGGGTCAAACTTCCCACACAGAACCCCCATGACCTCCAGGTTGAGAAATACTGTCCTAAAATAAGGATTCTTGTTAAACTGTGCAGTGCTGAATGTTCTTAAAATGAATTACTGTAGAAGACAACAATATCAATTTGATCAACTTACTCCCAAGAGGCGGGATAGTGGGGATGAGTATAAGGCTCCATCTACACTGCCAAATGATCCAGTTTCTGAATTAGATTAACTGCATTGAACTGTATTATATGGCAGACTCATATAATCCAGTTCAAAACAGTGGGTTGCTGTGAGTTTTCGAGCTTTTTTTTGTGTGTGTGTGTCAGGAGCAACCGGTATGGCTATGTTCCCGAAGCATTCTCTCCTGATGATTTGCCCACATCTATGGCAATCATCCTCAGAGGTTGTGAGGTCCTTACAACTTCTGAGCATGTCCGCCATAGATGTGGACGAAATGTCAGGAGAGAATGCTTCTGGAACATGGCCATACTGCCTGGAAATCACACAGCAACCCAGTGATTTTGGCCATCAAAGTCTTCAATAACACAGTTCAAAGCCGTTAATCCTGATTCTGAAACTGGATTATATGGCAGTGTAGATCCAGCCAAAGCCGGCCCCTTTACATTGCTGTCCTCAACATTCTCTATGTAAGGATAGAGTTACTATTAGATCTCTAATTGCATACCATTGCCGTTGTCTTGATGACGCTAGCTATTTATACTTTGATTAATATTTTTAAATCCAGATCAGCAAACATGAAAGATAGCTGGTAATTTTATTGCTAAGTGATATGTTAAGTAACCTGGGGATGGTTCAGTATTTTCTTTCACTGAAGATTAGGGAGATCTCTCGGCATCTAGCCAGTGCCGAACTCTTTAAAGTAGTTGTCTGCACTGTGAGAAAAAGCCTAAAGCAAGGGAGGAAAAAAGGATTTAAGCAACAACATCTCTGTAGGTTCACTAGGGAGCGATATTGGCGCATGCAAACTGATGTCCTTTTAAAACTGTGGACATTTCCTAATGTATTCGAATTTGACAAATTATGCTTCCCAACGGTCACCAAAGTAATACAAAACAGACAACTGCAAGAAATTATGCAAAATCCATATTTGCTTTCCCAGAAACAGTTCTATTTGGTTTGTTTCTTCTGAACGTAGCTGTTAATTGTTCATAATTTGGGTATTTTTTTTTAACTTAGCACAGGTAGAGGGACTATTATATGGAGTCTTGTGACTCTATTTGTACTTTGGGATGGGAAGATGTTGTCTTAAATGTGATTGTAATCAGATTCATGTCCACATCAACAATGGTACTGTTAGTTCTGGGATTTGGATCTGAAGACTAGGGGCCCTTCCAGACAGGCCCTATATCCCAGGATCTGATCCCAGGTTTTCTGCTTTAAACTGGATTATATGAGTCCGCACTGCCAGATAATCTGGGATAAGCAGAAAGCCTGGGATATAGGGCCTGACTGGAGAAGGGCCCTAGGGTTATCTACCTTGGGGACTTCAATGCTCACCTACAGAGGGGCAGATTATGAGTTGCAACGGCAAGCACATAGAGTAAATGTGTCATGTAAACAACTTGAACCATTGGTGGTCCCATTATCAGGAGGGCCACAGATTTTCTAGTCAAGATGGAAAGAAGTACAACAGCGCTCTTATCTCTTAAATTCTACAAGTAGCACTCAAAGTATGTTAAGGATAACTATTTTTTTTTGCTTCATGTCTTTCTATCTCAGTTTATTGGAGCCCCCGGTGGCACAGTGGGTTAAATCCTTGTGCCAGCAGGACTGAAGACCGACAGGAGGTTCAAATCCAGGGGGGAGCGTGAATGAGCTCCCTCTGTCAGCTCCAGCTCCCCATGCAGGGACATGAGAGAAGCCTCCCACAAGGATGGTAAAACATTAAAACTTCTGGGCATCCCCTGGGCAACATCCTTGCAGATGGCCAATTCTCTCACACCAGAAGCGACTTGCAGTTTCTCAAGTCACTCCTGACATGAAAAAAAAAAAAAATCTCAGCGTAAACTATGCCCCCTTTCAAACAGCTGAATACAAACCCATATTATTTGCTTTGAACTGGAATATATCTGACTGTGGACTCAGATAACCCAGTTTAAAGCAGATATTGTGGGATTTTCTGCCTTGATATTCTGGGTTATATGGCTGTGTAGAAGGGCCCTGAGTTAAGCAGGTACATTAATTAATGGCCTATTGTAACAGTAGCATTGGTATGAGATCTTGCACAACGATTGCCCTTTGTGTTTTGCGTTAGAGTTAATTTAGACTTGAGAAGTAGCTGATGTGAATGGCATGCATGCTCGCCCAGTGTTATTGGAGTAGCACTTATCAGGGATATGCTCCAAATGACTCCTTGTTGGCTCTTTTTTTTATCGTCACAGAGCACAATTCATTAGTACACATTTGATGTATTTCAGTGATGACTTTTGCTGAATTGGGTTACTGCTCACTGACCTGGAAGGCCCAGGCTGTGGTACAGCTAGTTAGTAGCCAGTTGCATTAAATCACTACTGACCAAGAGGTCATAAGTTTGAAGCCTGCCCAGGTTGGTGTAAGCTTCTGACCATTAGTAGCTAGCTTGCTGTTGACCTATCCAGCCCGAAAGACAGTTGCATCTGTCAAGTAGGAAATTTAGGTACTGCTTTATGCGGGGAGGCTAATTTAACTAATTTACGAAGCCATAAAACCTTTCAGCAGCGTGCAGAAGAATGAGGAAGTACGCCATCAAAGGACCCAGTGTTACAAGTGGACAGTGAAGCGGAAGCTCCCTCTGTGGCCGGAACTGAGTATACACTCATGAAGTCAGAAAAAGCTGGAATGTTAAATTGCGTCTGTGTCTATCTATATATGTTGTATGTCTAAAAGGCATCGAATATTTGCCATGTATATGTGCATTATAATCCACCCTGAGTCCCCTGCAGGTTGAGAAGGGCGGAATATAAAAAATGTAAATAAATAAGGCCGAAATGTGGAGCAACAGACCCCTCAATCTCAAAGGATGCCTGCCATAGATAGAGAAAATGCTTCTGGAACATGGCCATCCAGCCTGAAAAACTCTCAGCAACCCAATGTATAAACAAACCTTATGCATAAGTCAAGGGCAGGTTTTGATGACAAACTTAAAGATTTTGATATGAGCCGTGGATGTCACTCCATAAAGAATGGAAAGCCATGAATTATTTATATCTTATATCTCAGTCCCTGGCCAGGGTCACTGTCATTTCTTTGCCTAGGCATTCAATAAGGCTAGAAATGGTGCTGTAGTGGATAGAGTAGAGGGCGTCAGTTATTATTTTTTAGACTAAGGCCCCATCTACACTGCCATATAAAATCTAGATTATCTGCCTTGAATTGAATTATATGGCAGTGTAGACTCATATGATCCAGTTCAAAGCAGATAATGTGGACTATCTGCTTTGATAATCTGGATTATATGGCAGTGTAGAAGGGCCATAGATTCACCTTTTGCCAGCCTGCTTAGAAAGCGAGAGGGTTCTCTTTTTGATAAGAGTTAAGAAGCAGTACTTATATCGACCTGTGGATAAGGTTTTTTTTTTTTGGTCGTGTCAGGAGCGACCTGAGAAACTGCAAGTCGCTCCTGTTGTGAGAGAATTGGCCGTCTCCATTTGATTTTTTTGGGGCAAACATTTTTGCCCAAATCTGGCTACCAGTATTTAAAAAAACCTCTAAAATCACAACAGTAAATAAAAATAGGAGCTCCAGACAAAAAACAATCAGGGACAGCTGATCACCTCTCAACAAAGGATGCCCCCAGGCAATAAGAAGCCACACCTTGAAAACTGCTAGGCCATCAAATGCTAATCAAGGTGGTCAATTGCAAAATTCACACTTGCCTCCAACAGACAAGAGTTTCTTTCTCCCACCCTGGACATTCCACAGATATATAAACCCCATTTTCCTACTTTCCAACAGAGGATGCCTGCCATAGATGCAGGCAAAACGCCAGGAAAGAATGCTTCTGGAACATGGCCATACAGCCTGAAAAACTTACAGCAACCCAGTGATTTCAGTCTTGAAAGCCTTTGACAACACATTTTTTCATTTTTCAGAAACCCACCCCCTTAGAACATTATTTCTTTTTGGTAAAGTGTCTGCAATGGGAAGTTTTTGGAACATTGCAACAAGATATTTTTAATATGCAAACAGTGAAAAGGTTTATTGAGAAGAAATAGTTTTTTGGGATGCACTTCTCGGGATTGCTTAACGAAAAAGATACAGAGGGAAGGAGCCGCAAAGAAAAATAGAGTTTTGTTAAAAAAAGAGAGGAAGTGTTTATCTGCATAACTCATTTCCAGCTAGGACATGCATTAATAGTAAATATCATTGACACTTTTCCGGTGTTTATGTTGCTTGCTTCTCCTCAACGGATTTGACCTGGGATGAAACGACTCTGCCGTCAACAATTTCTTCCACAACCGTCTTAATCTTTCTGGTTTTCTTGGATTCTGGAAATTAAAACAAAATTGCAATATAGTCACATAGGTGATCAAAATAGATTTTTTGTCATGTCTTCTGTTAGTGTATGTTATTCTGTGCCTTTTAAAAAATTACCAGATCATTATTAGACATCCATGATTTCGACAAAATGGGGATAAGTTCTATCTCTTTTTCCTGGCAGCAAATGAAATCAGGGCAAGACTGATTACGGACATCACAGTAAACTGTGCTGGGGATGCGTTTATCTAACCTGAGTGGGGTTGATTACCCCTAAAGGGTTCTTATTTAAGTTTTTAACATGACTGATTTTTATACTGGCTTATTACCGGTGAATGTGCAGTTCCTCACACACATTGCACTTTTGTTGCTGCACTTTACAATGTATATCTTGCACTCTCTGTTTTATAATGTTTGCATCCTAAAGGTAAAGCTAAAGGTTTCCCCTTGACATGATGTCTAATTGAGGCTGACTGGGAGGTGGTGCTCATCTCCATTTCTAAGTCGAAGAGCCGACATTGTCCATAGATGCCTCCTAGGTCATGTGGTTAGCCTGACTGCATGGAGTGCCATTACTTTCCCGCTGAGGCAGCACCTATTGATCTACTCACATTTGGATGCTTTTGAACTGCTAGCTTGGCAGAAGCTGGGGCTAACAGCGGGAGCTCATCCTGTCCCAGGGATTCGAACCACCGACCTTCTGATCAGCAAGTTCTACAGTTTAGCAGTTTAACTTGCTGTGCCACTGCAGCCCCTTGCATCCATTTGCATCCTACTTACATCCCTTTGCTTTTAACTGTTGGATTTTAAAGTGTTTTGTATATATGCTTGTTAGATGTTGTTTTTGTCGGTGTAAATGCATATGACCAGGGGCGGCTCAACCCATTACTCAAAGTAAGCATTTGCAGTATGGTTGATTTTGCCTAGGGGTGCTCTTGGGGGAGAAAATAGACCTTGACATATACGAGTTGCAGTTACTGGGATGTATAGTTCACCTACAATCAAAGAGCATTCTGAACTCCACCAATGATGGAATTGAACCAAATATGGCACACAGAACTCCCACGACAAACAGAAAATCTATATCAGTGATTGGTTGCGGGGGAGGGGCGCAAAATACTGTTTGCTTATCGTTGAAAATTACCTAGGGCCGCCTCTGCATATGACCATTTGTCGCAGCATTAATAAAATTGATTGATTGACAAAATAAGGTGGTAGCAGATCTGCAGATCAGAAATGGACCACTTCCAATTCTTTACCATGCTGTTTAAAGTACAGCATAGGCTCATTTCTCTCCTATAAATCGATTTCCCACTGTTTCCAGTGCATTTGGGCCATGCTCAGAACCATAATTAAAATAGAAAAATGTGCACGAACATGCTTTAGTCATTGAGGAAAGTGTATAAAGATGCAAATGTTAATGGAAATATTATACAAATAAAGGCTTTCATACTAAAATACCCATGGCAGTTAAAACAGTGTCAAAGTTCATTAATTCTACGGTGTAGATACACCCACAATGTTTCTAATGGATACATGTGATTAAAATTACCTGTGCCAGAGCCTCCTGAACCTGTAGAACTATAACTTGTAGTTCCATAAGATACTCCGGAATGGGATCCAAAGCTATTGTAAAAGAAAACATATACATATTAGGATAATATCCTGGAAGTCCATTTGCTATTTTCTAGAAATGTTTTTGTGTCATATTTCAAAGTTGTGATAGTGACCATGCCTTGTTTAGAAGTAGAACAGGCAGAAACCAAAGAGACAAATAAGAAAAGCAGGTCAAAACATCAATATTAATGAAACAGAAAAAGCTGTTTCGTATCCATTACTTGTCCATAGTGCCAAGCGCACGTAACACACTTGTTTCCACAAACTGAGCTTCAAAAAGCAAACCAAGATCAGGAATGATAGTGATCTGATACTGTACACGTGTTTGTGCATGTGCCTTCAAATTGTGTGCTAATTTATAGGAACCTCAAGGATTTAATAGGGTTTTCTTAGGCAAGGGATACTCAGTCGTGGTTCTACCAGTCCCTTCCTCTGAAATATAGCCTACAGCACCTGATATTCAGTAACAGTCTCCTATCCTAGTATATTATTATTATTATTATAACTTTATTTGTACCCCGCTAGCATCTCCCAAGGGATTCGATGCGGCTTACAACAGGCCGAAGCCCACACAATACAACAATACAACAATACAGTACCTAGCAAATAAAACAGTTAAGCAAGAACAATAGCAATAGCAGTGCAACAAGACATTATTAAAACTGAGCCGGTCAGAGTAGGGGTACAGGATTAAAAGTGCTGATGTGTCGGAGGGATATGGGATTATAATATAAGTGCGGTGTGCGGTGTGCGGTGATCTTGGTTCTAACTAAAGTGCTTCTGGGATTTGGTACTGGGGTTCCTAGTCTGAAAAGGCACATTGGAACAGCCAGGTTTTCAAATTCTTTCTGAAGACTGCCAATGTAGGGGCTTGTCTGAGGTCTTTCGGGAGGGCATTCCAGAGGCGGGGGGCCACCACAGAGAAGGCCACCACAGAGAAGGCTATTTTGCTATGTCATTGTATGGAATGGGATTTTCGCATCAATAGATATTGATATCATACCTTCTTGGAACTAAACCCAACACGTGATATCCACCTGTTCCTGGAATTAAACTTGGAAAGATACCAAGCACCCACTATATTAGGCTATGGGCCCTTCCACACAGCCATATAACCCAAAATATCAAGGCAGACAATTCCACAATATCTGCTTTGAACTGGGATACCTGAGTCTGCACTGCCATATATTCCAGTTCAAAGCAGAAAATATGGGATTTTATTCAGCTGTGTGGAAGGGGCATATGAAATCTTATTTGTTATGAAAATGTTACAAAACTGCAACCTTTTGGTTAACAAGTTTTTGTTTCTGATTTGAAGATGTGCTTCTTTCCATGCTACAAGTTTGTGCTATGTCTCCCTTACCCTCCTTCTCCATCCAGTAGGCGGCGGTAGGTTTCAATCTCCTGTTCCAGACGTGTCTTGATCCCCATAAGGTGTTGATAATCTGAATTCTGGTTCTCCATGTCAGCTCGCAGCTGCAGAAGTTGCTCCTCTAAGCCAGCTATCTGGCCCTGAATTTGGGCGAGCTGATCACAATAGTTCCGTTCCGTTTCCGCCAAAGTGCCTTCAAGGGAGTGTTTCTGGAAGCAGGAGGAAGAGAAAAATATTTTAAAAATTATTAATAGGAGCCAGAAGCTCCAGAAAGGTGTTGTTTGGTTGTTGTGGTTGCTAATACTACAATATGCTCCCTCATATCTGTGGGACCTTAATTTATCCTCTTCTGTCAAAATGTAATCAGACAATGAAATTAGACACATTCCACAATACACAAAATTCCAATAAGGCTTAGCAAAAGTAAAGGGACACTCTACGTCTACCACAAAGTAGTTTGAATATAACTTTTCTAGATATTTTCTAGGTTTTCCAATATGATCCTATGGTATTTTTAGACCAGAAGTCTTTCATTTCAATCTGGTCTGCTATTTTCTTTGTTTTCTCCCCACATGAAATTTGGGAACATATCCTCATGGATCTAGGTACCATACTATACTATGAAACGATAGCTGAAAGCATTAGGGTTGGGCGGTTTCGTTTCGTAATTTCGTAATTCGTTAAAAATTCGGGTTTTTTGGTTACGAAGCGATAACGAACCATTCAGGAGCATCTAAAAAACGAAACGAATTTTTCAATTCGTTTCGTAATTGCTTCGTATTCGGTTCTTATTCGTTTCGAAATTGTTTCGAAATCGTTTCGTTATTATTTCCGCATGTCTGGGGCAAGTTTTATAGCTGTTGTTTGTTTAATCAGTGAAAAAAAATTATAAATATCACACCAACAGTCAACAACAGAGGGAGAGGGAAGCTTCAGAAGTTCCCCCTGTCCCATATGGAGGTTTTTTAGCGTATTGCGCGGTCGCGCCCGCCATTAACGAATCGACTCGTTATTGTTTCGTATTCGTTTCGTATTGTTTCGTAATTTTATGAAATTTCGTAAATATCGAACTTTTTTAAAGAAAATTTTCGGAATTCTTTTAAATATCGAAACGCAAAAACCCCCAAAAAACGAATTGAGTTTAGAAACAAATTTTTCCGTGGTTGCCCAGCCCTAGAAAGCATTGGTGCCAACAGAGAACCAGATTTGATCTTCTGACCCTGAATTAGAGCCACTCTTCCTCCTCAACCATGGTCCAATCTCAGATACTGTCAGAGGCGGCCCTAGGTAATTTTCAATGGTAAGCAAACAGTATCCCCCCCCCCCCAACCAATCACTGATATATATTTTCTGTTCGTCGTGGGAGTTCTGTGTGCCATATTTGGTTCAATTCCATCATTGGTGGAGTTCAGAATGCTCTTTGGTTGTAGGTGAACTATACATCCCAGTAACTACAACTCGCATATGTCAAGGTCTATTTTCCCCCAAGAGCACCTCAAGAGCGCCCCTGGGCAAAATCAACTGTACTGCAAATGCTTACTTTGCATAATGGGTGGAGCCGCCCCTGGATACTGTCTCAGGCTATGCTATTTAAACTTGAATAAGCCATTCATACAGTTGTTGTTGAAGTAACTAAATTGTGTGACATTTACTTTGGCAGAAAGACACCCATAAATGTTGCTTCTTTCTTCACTGCTTTGTCCTCCTCCTTTTACATTTTGGTTTCCTTTTCTTTTTCATTGTGCCGCAAGTATTTCTATTTTCTGTTGACCCTCAATACTCCATTTTTGAAATCTGGATTGCCAGTCTGAAAACTGGTTGACTTCTATCCCCTTTAATGATTGTTCAGAAAAAGAAATTTCAGAAGAGGTTGCTTATCACTCAACCAGGTAACAAGCAACATCTTCTGCAATTCCCTCTTCTTCATAATCAAATGTAGAGGTTCCAGCTACAGCTTTATCTCTGACTCATCCATATGCTCAACATTTCTTTACAGTGGCTCAAAATGTAACTCAAATCAGGAATATAACAAGCTGGAGATCTACTAGAGCATGTATGGGCAAACTTTGGCCCTTCGGGTGTTTTGGACTTCAGCTCCCACAATTCCTAACAACCAGTAAGCTGTTAGGGATTGTGGGAGTTGAAGTCCAAAACACCTGGAGGGCCAAAGTTTGCCCATGCCTGTGCTAGAGGATTTGCAGAGTTATCTATCATGAAATACGGTGGACGTATTTGCTATCTCAGAAGGGTTCCTGGCAATCAGATGTATTCTTCTATATAAATAAAAATGTAATGTCCGTTTGTGGGATTAACAGAAGTCAAAAACCACTGGACGAATTGACACCAAATTTGGACACAAGACACCTAACAACCCATTGTATGTCCTTCACTAAAAAAATGATTTTGTCATTTGGGAGTTGTAGTTGCTGGGATTTATAGTTCACCTACAATCAAAGAACATTCTGAACCCCACCACCGATGGAATTGAACCAAACTTGGCACACAGTCCCACCAACGATTGAATTGAACCAAACTTGGCACACAGTTCTTCCATGACCAACAGAAAATACTGGAAAGGTTTGGTGGGCAGTGTCCTTTGATTTTGGAATTGTAGTTCACCTACATCCAGAGATCACTGTGGACTCAAACAATGATGGATCTGGACCAAACTCTACAAGAATACTCAATATGCCCAAATGTGAGCACTGGTGGAGTTTGGGGAAAATAGACTCTTGACATTTGGGAGTTATAGTTGCTGGGATTTATAGTTCACCTACAATCACAGAGTATTCTGAACCCCACCAATGATAGATTTGGGCCAAACATTCCACACAGAACCGTCATGTGGGCCACAACGTGTGGCAGGGGACGGCTAGTTTGAAATAATTCATGATGACGTCAGGTCAGTGTCCACATCCCAATTTCTGCCATTTTGAAGCACTCTAGCTGGCTTGATATATAGGTGCACCTACCATGGCAAGTTGAGCCTGAACTTCCAATTCCAGCCCTTGCAGAGTCCTCCTCAGTTCTGTAATTTCAGTCTTGCCTGTGCTTAACTGATCCACATTGGCAGAGATCTCTTGCCTGAGAGCGCCAACCTGAGACAGATAAGATATATTTAATGAACTGTTGAGAAATTGCAATACAACCAGGGGATACATTTCAGTCCCCAAGACCACATGAGCTACATGGGATAGAGTTGGACTGGATGGCCCTTATGGTCTCTTCCAAACCTGTGATTCTGTGGTTCTGTGAGTTGCCCCAAATGTCCCCACTGCCCCTATGGTTCAGAGTGTGGGTAGAGCAGAGACATTACTTGCCTGTTTGTTGAATTGATCTTCTGCCTCTTGACGATTCTTCTCTGCAAGTTCCTCATATTGGGCCCTCATGCCATTCAGAAGTTTAGTCAAATCAACTCCAGGAGCGGCATCCATTTCAACACTGACATCCCCACTAGATGCTCCTCGGAAGCTCTTCAGTTCCTGCAGAAGGAGAAGGCAAATAGATTAGTTACAATGTATTGTCGAAGGCTTTCATGGCTGGAATTACTAGGTTCTTGTGGGTTTTTTCGGGCTATAGGGCCATGTTCTAGAGGCATTTCTCCTAGAGGAGAAATGCCTCTAGAACATGGTCCTATAGCCCGAAAAAACCCACAAGAACCTAGATTAGTTACAGCCCGCAGGAGAAACCAAGCCACAGAACTACAATAATCTACACAAGAATGGGGGAGATAAAGAATGTATGTTATTTATATGGAACAAATGGACATATAGCATATAATATGAGCAAGCATGATGTACTGAGTGTTGGACAAGGGTGCTAGGAGACAGGGATCTAGTCCCCACTCAATCATGGGAACCCATGAAGTGAGTGAAATACTGTCTATGGGCCCTTCCACACAGCCATATAACCCAGAATATCAAGGCCACAATATCTGCTTTGAACCGGGTTATCTGAGTTCACACTGCCATATATTCCAGTTCAAAGCAGATATTGTGGGATTTCCTGCCTTGATATTCTGGGTTATATAGCTGTATGGTAAGGCCGTCAGAGGAAGGCAATGGCAACCTTACTCTGAGGCCCCATCTACAGTGAACATATAATGAAGTTTCATAATGCAGTGTAGATGGGGTCTGAATAACCCCAGTCTAGGGTAAGCCAGCATGATGTAGTGGTATGAGCATTGGACGACAACTCTGGAAACCAGGATTTGATTTCCCATTTAGCCATTGAATCCCACAAGATGACCTTGGGTGAGTCACATACTCTCAGCCCCAGAAAACTTTGTTTTAGGGTTGCCTTAGTGTTGCCATAGGTTGGAAACAACTAAAAGGCACACAGCACCAACAGGACTTTTTAAGGTGCATTTGAGAAAAATATGCATGTATCTTCTCCCACAAAGTTGCAGTTCAAGACTAGCTCAACGATTTCCATTTGTAACTTGTTTGGGTAAAGATTGTGTATTTATTTAAAGCTATTTTGTGTGCTTTTATTTGACCACCAGATGGCAGGCACAGATGACATTAGGGCGGAAAGCAAAAATCACCTTATTGTGCTGTGTTCATTATCTGAAAGCACTTTGAAAATCTTTACCCAATTGTAACCCCCCCTCCCAAAGGCATGTGATACCATGAGGGTCTGCCTCCAGGGATAAACCAAGAAGAAGTCCCTGAACAGGCTCAGAAGTGGAATGGGCAGGTCAAAAGACAACCTGGCAAAATGGAACTACCTAGAAGAATCCTCCACCTTGTGCGACTGTGGAGCAGAACAAACAACTACGCATCTGTATGCTTGTCCACAATGCCCTGCCTCATGTACAGAGGAAGAATTGTTTCAAGCTACGAACAATGCGGTTGCTGTTGCTCATTTTTGATCTAAACTTATTTAGCCTTTTGTGCTTCTTCTATTTTATCAGTTTTATACTTATTTATGCAAAATAACCCAACTTCTTTCATAAATCTCATGTCAATGCAGTGCATAATTTTACTTTCATCCAACCAAATAGTACCTTTCGAATTGCATTCATGTATAGTTTTTTAAAAAAAAGTTAAAGTACGATACCATTTGTCCTATAGCTGAGCTACTTCTGGATCTGATTATTTCCTTGTCTTTTATCTAACTCATATATTATGTCTATGAGAAATGAATTAACTTCTTGTGTTTTCTACACCAATCTCCCTCACATATGTCAATGGGAAGTAAACTGGTTTCAGCTTCTTTGCTTTCAGGGAATAATGATGCGGTTAAGGAAGGCCAGATCCTGGTTTGAGGGGTACTCAGATACCAAAATTTCCACAAATATGACAATGCCTCACCCATCTTGGCTATTTTTCCAACTCCTGAATAACATCCTTGACTTTAGCATTGAATATTAGCACATTTCACCATGGGAAGGATTACAACACTCAGTTCCACCTTGTGTCCCCTTACCTCCTCGTGGTTCTTCTTGAGATATGCAAGTTCCTCGTTCAGACCCTCGATCTGCAGCTCCAGGTCAGATCTATGCATGGTTAACTCATCCAAGACTCTCCTCAGGCCATTGATGTCATTCTCCACATTCTGGTGCAGGAAAAGTTCGTTTTCATACCTTGAAAGTGTATTTAAAGATGGTATGTATTATATTACAGTAAAGAATAAGGTATCCTTCCATAAAGAAAGGCAGTGAACTGCTGATGTTATCTATTTCAGTCCATGCTAAGGTTCTGTGAAACTGAAAAGCTGAACACTTGGGTGTCATCACTAATCATCCCTCTTCATCAGGAAATTAGCACTTACTTGAGTTTGAAATCATCGGCAGCCAGGCGGGCATTGTCAATTTGCAAGACGATCCCAGCATTTTCAATGGTTTGTCTAAGTATCTAAAATAAAAAAGACAGCTGAACTAAAATCTAAAAATCGTAATTGTCCTTTGTGATATTTTTTGGCACTGAACACTTTATATTAAGTTGCACAATCTGTTTGTCCACAAGCACTGCTAATATTCTGGGGAGAAGTTGATGGTTGGATGTACATTATGAACTCCTTATCTTTATCCATGGTTTCACTTACCCATTCTTCAAAAATGTTCCCTTCCAGAGGTGTTTGTGGATCTAGTGCCATTTTGTGTTATATTTCTGGCCTTAGTATAGTCAAAAAATAGGATTCACTGTTATTTGTGGTTTCTGGTATCCATAGGGGAATCTTGAAATGTATCCCCAGTGGATATAAGAGTCGTATTGTATACCCCATGGGTCCTCAAACTAAGACTCGGGGGCCAAATACGGCCCTCCAAGGTCATTTACCCGGCCCTCGCTCAGGGTCAACCTAAGTCTGAAACGACTTAAAAGCACACAACAACAACAACAACCCTATCTCATCAGCTAAAAGAAGGCCCACACTTCATATTGAAATACTAATGTTTATATTTGTTAAAATTGTTCTTCATTTTAATTATTGTATTGTTTTTAAGTGTTTTCTGCACTACAAATATATGTGCAGTGTGCATAGGAATTCAAATTATAATCTGGCCCTCCAACAGTTTGAGAAACTGTGACCTGGCCCTCTGTTTAAAAAAATTGAGGACCCCTGGTATATCTTGTTCACAGAGATACACAGCATTGCACAAATGGATGGCCATCTGTTCCGAATGCTTTCACCGTGCTTTTCTGCACTGCAGAGGATTGGACTAAATGCCCATGGTGGTCTCTTTCAACGCTACGATTATATGAAATACAATCCTACCAATTGTCTTCTACCAAGAGTATAAATCGTAGTGCCACATCTTTCCGATTTGCTAAGCACAGTTCAGTTTGCTGCCTCTCTAATGTGCACATTTAAACCAAAGAGGTCATTGGAAAAATAAATAGGTTGTGAATTATAGACAGGAAAACTGGGAAAAGAACTCTCATATGACTGTCAACTTCACTGATTATATGAATTTCTGAAGGCTATTTAGTTTATCTTTGCTTTTTTAATGATAAGGAGGGAACATCAGAGATTAATCTCTGGAGAGAATCTTCCATAGCCTGAGTGTGAGATTCTCTTATTTGATTACAATATGATCCCAATGTCCAGGGGGGCAGTTTCCACGATTTTATGTATCCACATTTTACAAAATGTGTCCTTTCAAGGTCCTTTAGTATGGGTCTATGGTTTACTTGGACCAGAGGTCTTCCATTCTCGTTAGGGACTCACTATAATCTATGGTTTTGCATAGCCACACAAAGTCCAGAAATATATCCCGCAAAATCATACTGTAGTATAGTGTATTTATTTATATCATAACTTTCTTCCAAAATTGGCATTCAAAGAGACTTACAAAAATTAAAACATATATAACTGCAGCAATATAAGTAAAAACACTGTGTTGATTCTCCCTTTTTTAGCTGTTCAAAGTTGCTGAAGATAAAAAATGATAAAGAAAGGGAGAGGCAGAGGATAGATAATATATTCAAGATGTATGCATTCAAAAAGTATAATAGTATATTCCAATTTCTTAAAAAAAGTCTTTGCTCTTTTTTGTTCTTTTGTTGTATTAATTTAACCCAAGCACCTGGACAGTCTGCAGTTTTAATGGCTAGTGGTCATCCTGGGTTGGCAGAGCCTGTAAATTTTAGCTCCAAAAGTAATTTTTCCAAACTCTGTTCTTTGCCATTATAATGTTGTCTTCCAAAATCTCATGATTTAAATGGCAGTTCCTCTTGCAAGACTTTAATCTCTTCTATCCTTGCTTTCCAATTAGCCATCTACATTTAAGACTACAATTAGTGTATTTAAAAACTCCATACTATTCTCATCCAGAATTTCTATGTGTATGAGGGCCAGGTAGTTCTGCAGTTTTGTACAGAGTGGATCAGTCTCTGCAGGCAGCTGGTTCCAGGTGACATTAAAAAGCAGGAAATTATTTAATTTAATATTGTTGCTTTTTATGATGGAGGGCAGGTATTGCCTATATCAAAATATTTTAGGTGATTTTGGACCTCCCAACCTCTGAGGATGGCTGCCATAGGTGTAGGTGAAACGTCAGAAGAGAATGCTTCTAGAACATGGCCATACAGCCCGAAAAACCTACAACAACCCACTGATTTTGGGTACTATGATTTGGATGGATTGCAGGCAGGAGAGGGTGGGAGAGGGAACGGGACAGAAAGTATATTCCCATCCGCTTAATTAGACCGATGGCTTAGATGCTGAGCACAGAATTTCCTCATAGGTGAGTTTCCTCAATATCTTCAGTAAGCTTACTCAGCTGTGTAAGCAGAGATTAGGCAAGTTACTTTTTTAGGTCACACCCCCAGAATCCCCCAGCTAGCATGCCAAATGATTTTCTTAGCACAGATGATGAGAGAGGAGTATGTCTTTGCTTTTGATCCTATGGAACAGCTTCTTTCAGGGAAGACACTGTGACCAGTGTTCTAACTTTGAAAAACATCTTCCCATGTAAAGAAAAGCAGCTGCTCCAATTAAAAAAAAATAATAGTTCTCCGCCAACTGTGAATTATGACAGAAAACTACTTTTAGTGCCCCCACTTTATATATATTGGCCAAAATGATTTTGTAGAATTTAACCTTGAGATATCTAGTCTGCTTTGATTAAATCTTAAAAGCAAGGTGACTTCCTTTGCTTAACAAGAGTTAGTTACTTGCAAGTCCTTGTAGCTACCAGTTACTTGCACTATGAGCATTGAACTATTGCTAAAAATCAAGATTTTGCTTTGAAGGTGTTCACAGATCCAAGTATTGTCAATAACTTTCAAATGCCCAAGGCTGACAAGGTAGACAACAAATATAACTCTCCTATCTCTGAGAGTATTAATTAATTTGGGGATTTTGAAAGGCCTACAGGATCCACAAGCTTTGTCTTAAATATCGTATCTGTAACTCACTTTTATATTGCATATCAACCTATAACTTAATTGGGTTGTTGTAGGTTTTTTGGGGCTATATGGCCATGTTCTAGAGGCATTCTCTCCTGACATTTCGCCTGCATCTATGGCAAGCATCCTCAGAGGTGAAGTCTGTTGGAACTAAGGAAAGTGTGTGTGTGTATCTCCTTAGTTCCAATAGACCTCACCTCTGAGGATGCTTGCCATAGATGCAGGAGAAACATCAGGAGAGAATGCCTCTAGAACATGGCCATATAGCCCAAAAAATCTACAACAACCCAGTGATTGTAGCCATGAAAGCCTTTGACAATACATATAACTTAATTGTAATTGAGCAGAGTGTTAATTGTAACCAAAAATCTCGATAGCACATGCATTACTTACTTTGCCCCGCAGATCTTCAATAATGTTAAAAAACTTGGTGTAGTCCCGGCTGGTATCAGGGACGTTGAACTTGGAATACCAGTCCTTGATTTTGAGTTCAAGCTCAGCATTTGCCTCTTCAAGAGCATGCACCTTGCCCAGGTAGCTTGCAAGGCGGTCATTAAGATTCTGCATGGTCTGCTTCTCATCACCAGAGAGAAGACCACTATCTCCCCCTCCAAAGCCACCACCCAACCCACCTCCATGACCACCACCAAAACCTCCTCCATAACCACCACCCAAACCTCCTCCATAACCACCACCAAAACCTCCTCCATGGCCACCACCAAAGCCACCAGCAAAGCTGCTACTAGAAAAGCCTCCACCCAAGCCCCCACCAGAGCCTACAGCCAAGCCACTTCCATATCCTCCTGCAAGGCTTCCTCCAGCATAACCTCCTCCACTGTATCCCCCTACAAATTTGGATCCGCTGCCAAATCCACCACCACTAGACAGTCTGACAGACCCTCCACCACCACCACCTCCAACACTGTATGAGGAAAGCTGTCGGGAAGAGCCCGAAGTTAGGAAGGAGAGAGACATAGCGTTTGAGCAAGAAGTCTAGCGTGTCCTGTTCAAGCGAGGCAAGCCAATTAGGAAGAGTGTGCCGAGTTGGTGGGCTTCTGATATTTATATAGCATTCAGAGGGTGTATCTTTTGCTCTCTGGTCTCAGCCAAAGGAATCTGTTGCCAAGTCAATGTCTTAATAGCCATAATCAGATAATTGTTTTGTCTAATTAAAAAAAATCATGTTACCAAGTCCAGCTTTGTAGAAATGTGTATCCCTGGGGTATTTGTTATGCCAAATTTCTGGATGGAACCAAGTGGAACAGAGCCAAATGTACTTTTCTTTTTATCTTTTAAATTTTGATGAGCAGCCCTTTTTCTTTCTTTCCCTTTCTGCCCCCCCTCCCCTTCCTTTAAACTTAAATTGGATAGCATTCTCTTGAACATACCAAGCCTGCAGGCACAACCCTTCTAATTGAAAGAGGAAGCCAAACAATGCTGCAGGTGACATGTATGAACAACACATATGCTAGGATGTACTTATTGAGTTCCTAAAAAAAACCCAGCAGTGAAACAGATCTCAAGTATCTTGTTAGGCTTTGGCACAAAATTGCAAATTTGCCTAATTTATTAACTGCAGCATTCTTGGACGATGATTAAAAAAACTTTGATGTTAAATCTGAAGTCTTAATTTGATGTATAGCCTGTCTTTACACGTTCTAAGATGCAAGAATCCTTATTAGTAGATAAAAGAATTCCTCTGCAATCCCTGATTCAGAGGAAAGCAAGTTAATTCATATATAGATCACTTTAGCTTTACGACTAATCATTTCTCAGAATTCCTTTGCTGCTGCTGTTCCAGAGCAAAATGCTGATTTTTCATTGCTTTTCTTTATTTCTTCATACTCATCATTTTCATTTTAAATACACAGTTCATATTTGTACTAAAGGTCCACCCTTCCTAAAGACCACTTTCTCCTTTCTGTAGGCCGATGTGGTTTAAATGCACTAGGAACTGAGGGTCCATCTACATTGCGGAACTACTGCACTTTGACATCACTTTATCTGCCATGTCTCAATGCAGTGGAATTATGGGAGCTATAGTTTTAGGTGATCTTTCTCTGCCAAAGGGTGCTGGTGTCTCATCAAACTACAAATCCCAGAACCCCCTAGCATTGAGCCATGACAGATAAAGTGGTGTCAAACTGCATTGACTCTATAGCACTGGTTCCCAACCTTTTTTTTTTGACCAGGGACCACTTGAATAGGGACCACTTGATGAGGGACCACATTGACTAGGGACCACTTGATGAGGGACCACTTTGATCAGGGACCACTCACCAACATTAGTATCCAAAGAGTTACGAGTCAGTTTTTGACCAACTTCAGATTCGGTTTGGTTATTTGGAGTGCTGATTCAGAAAATTGCATTGGATAGACCCCATCAGCTTTAGTTTCTGATACAGAACATATGCCATCCAATAGTTGCCATCTGCTCGCCCACAGAAAACCATATTTAATAATCTACAGCTGATGTGGTAGTAATAATCTTTCACGGGTAGACAGCCTCTCCTCTTCAAACATCCCCATTGCCTTGGCACTATAGGAGGGTTTCATGAGTTGCTTTTGTTGCCGTGTAGTTTTGAGGCAACGGTGTAGTAATGGTGACTCCGTGGACCATATTTTCGTTCTTCAGACCACTGGTGGTCCACGGACCACAGGTTAGGAATAACTGCTCTACAGTGTAGATGCAGTCTGAGCTTAACCTATTCCTCATGTAGCTTGGTTGTAATGCAGTTTTGCTTATTTGTCTTATTTTCCAATAATGCAGATTCTGGCAAGATGCATGTTATTGTATGCTGGCCAAATTGCATTCACACTGGTTCAATATTACCTTGTATGTAAATGAGCAATAATTCAGTGTTTTGCATCAGTTCATCTACACATCCTTGGGGATGAGACATTGGTGAAAATAGAATTGTTTATGTGCTATATGAATAACACTTCTTTATCTCTTTCATTTATTTTGGTTGAAATCTGGGGAGTGTAAAGATATATACACATGATGTTTGTTTATTGGGCTTTCAGTTCACACATTTCTATTGTAATGGAGCAAATTGGGAAATTAATCAGCTACAATTTGAACACATTGCAGTGCAATGCTTACTTTTACAGTCACAACTGTTCATTGTTCCACAGATTGAACCCCCACCCCCCATCCCCAATGTATATTTCATATGTTTAAGATTCAAACTCAAATGTCTGGGCACTTGATATGAAATCCAATTCTGAATTTCCAATAATGATATGTCAACTTGGACAGATGAACAGGAATGGCAATTTGTGTCCTAGTGAATGTTAGATGGTTGTTCCTATCATCCTTCCACCATTGTGGTTGGGAACTGCAGTCTAACAATATTTAGAGGGACATGAAATTGCCTACTTAGCAGCGTGCAACACAGTAACAGATGCCACACATCACGTTCTGATAACAAATCATACCTACACATCCAATCACTTTGTTCCTATTGTGGTATATAATAAAAATAATAGCTAGGAACGGCCACTTGTGGTTATGAGGAGCTGCTTAAAGAGCTGGGTATATTTAACTTGCAGAAGAGAAGGTTGAGAGAAGACCTGATAGCCATGTACAAATATTTGAAAGGATGTCATAAGGAAGAGAGAGCAGGTTTGTTTTCTGCTGCCCTAGAAACAGGAACTCGGAGTAATGGAGTCAAATTACAGGAAAGGAGATTCCACTTGAATATTAGAAGAACTTCCTAACCATAATAGCTATTCAACAGTGGAACTCACTGCTTTGGAGTGTGGTGGAAGCTCCTTCCTTGGGGGCTGGATGGCCATCTGTCAGGGGTACTTTGATGGTGCTTTTCCTGCATGGCAGGGGGTTGGACCATATGGCCTATGTGGTCTCTTCCAACTCTATGATTCTATGTGGTTCTTTCTTCTCCGTCAATACCATCAATGTTCGTTTTTCTTATGACATATCCATTATTTTGTGTACTTCTCCACTTCCCAGTACTGATCCTGGATTTTGGGAAGGACCTTTTGTGCAAGACATTTTCCATAGATCTTCTCTCTAAGAGGCTGAGATCATTGCTTTCATTGCTATCCAATGACGTCTCTTCTGATCCCAGTTTCCATACTCACTTTCATTAAAATCACAGAGTTGGAAGAGAAGACCACAAGGGCCATCTAACCCAACCCCTTTGCCATGTAGAAACACACATCAAAGCACCTTGAAGAGTGAGCTTCTTCAGATACAGTAGTGAATAGCATTTTCGTATTTAGACAATTATGGTAATGGAATAGAATGTAATAAGATCCAGAAGTATGGTAATCATGACCCTTGCACTGAAATGTCAAAGGATTACTTAAAGTGATACAGGTCTTTCATATCTTTCCCATGGTTGGTTAGTGTTGATGCATGAAAGTAATACATCTACTTACCAAATGTCAGTTTCCCTGAGTTCAAAACTCTCTCTCAGCAGATTCCTGGATACATATGTAAAGAAGCAAGGATTATATGTAGTGCACCATGACCCTGGTCTTTGTTTACACCACTGCTAATTGATTATAATTTGTAAATATAATTCAATCCAACTATTTCCCTTTCTTGTCTTCCTTTGTAATTTCTCTCCTCAAGGACTTCAACTTGTATATCCAAAACTCAATGTCCAGGAAGGTTGAAGTTTTCTGCAACTGGTTGTGGAGTATTGCCATTTCTAATGTCAGGTTTGTGTCCAGTAATCCTCTTGCACAGATACTATGATGTCTGTATAACATAGAGTGTAGTGGAGTATTGCTGGCATATGATGTCATTTTGAAGGACAAGTAAAGGTACCTCTAATGTTGAGAGTAATGCTTTGGCCCATGTAATAGTGCTTCTGGAGTACATGTGGAGACATAATCGGCATCTGGGCTTGTGATAGTGTGTTGAAATGATGGAGAACAATCATAGAATCATAGACTTGGAAGAGACCTTGTGGGCCATCCAGTCCAACCCCCTGCCATGAAGCAGGAAAATTGCATTCAAAGCACCCCCAACAGATGGCCATCTAGTCTCTGTTTAAAAGCCTCCAAAGATGGCGCCTCCACCACACACCAGGGTAGAGAGTTCCCTTACTGAATGGCTCTCACAGTCAGGAAGATCTTCCTAATGTTCAGCTGGAATCTCCTTTCGTGTAGTTTGAAGCCATTGTTCCGCATCCTAATCTCCAGGGCAGGAGAAAACAAGCTTGCTCCCTCCTCCTTATAACTTCCCCTCACATATTTATACATGGCCATCATGTCTCTTCTCAGCCTTCTCTTCGGCAGGCTAAACATGCCCAGCTCTTTAAGCCATTCCTTATAGGGCTTGTTCTCCAGACCCTTGATCATTTTAGTTGCCCTCCTCTGGACACATTGCAGCTTGTCAACATCGCCCTTCAATTGCGGCATCTGGAATTGGACACAGTGAAATTCCAGGTGTGGTTTGACCAAGGCAGAATAGAATAGAGGGGTAGCATGACTTCCCTGGATCTAGATTCCTATTGATGCTGACCAAAATCCCATGGGCTTTCTTAGTCATTGCATGACTTTGTTGGGTTATATTTAATTTGTTGTCCATGAGGACTTTTTCACACACACTGCTGTCAAGCCAGGTGTCCCCTATTCTGCATCTTTGCATTTTGTTTTTTCTATGTACACTTCTCATTTTATTCTTTCTTCAGTTGAATAACAAGTTGAAACACACCTGGTCATTGAGAAAGTATTTTTCCCCCCTGGACAAACATGTTGATGATGAATAGGCATATACCCTATTACTTTGACAACAGTAAGGCTTGACAACTGAAAGCTATTTCTATATAAATGATATGTAACCGTTTGTAAGACTGTGTTTAATACAAGTTCTACATTTACTTGTTATTTTAGTAGGCCTGTTTTCTGTAGCTCTGTTTTAACTTCCACATCCAGCTCTAAAAAGGGAAGTACGCTCTAGTCACATCCCGAATAGATTACTGCAACGCAGTCTATGTGGGTCTGCCTTTGAATACAGGTTCAACAGTTGGCAGCCAAACATACAGGGAGCATGCCACCCACCTGCTGTGTCAGCTCCACCGGCTGCCGGTCCACCTCCAAGCTCAATTCAAAGTGCTGGTTTTGCCCTATAAAACTCTATACGGTTCTGACCCAGCTTACTTGTCCGAACGCATCCACCCCTATGTCCCACCTCGAAACCTAAGATCATCCGGGGAGGCCCTGCTCTCACTCCCGTCAATAGCACAAATGCGCCTGGCGGGGACAAGAGACAGGGCCTTCTCGGCAGTGGCCCCCCGCCTATGGAACACACTGCCAACTGAGGTAAGATTGGCCACCTCCCTCCTAGTTTTTTTTAAAGAAACTAAAGGCATGGTTTTGGGACCAGATTTTTTGGACAATAGATGCAAGCAGCACTTTAAAGGAATGTGACTGGAATGACGATATGGCTGATGAGACTGTTTTAACGATGGCTTATGTATTGTTAATAATGCTTTTATGTCTAATTGTGGTTTTAATTTTGTAATTTGTTATGTAATGGCTTTGGAATGGGGCCCATTGTAACCCGTCCTGAGTCCCCCTTCGGGGATTGAGAAGGATGGGATAGAAATGTGAGAAATAAATAATAAATAAATAAGTATCTGTCATATCCATAGTGTTTATATGAAGCAACCCCGAATGATGTTCAAAGAGAATCAGGATTACTTCAGGCTCTGATGAGTCGGAATGGATGAGAATTTTCTTTCAATTCTTTATTTTAAATGATAATTTGTCAACTTCACAAATGTATCTATATTTGGGACAGAAATAATCTGAGATTTAAAAAAATAGTATGGGAGATAGAGAAACGGATTCAACTATCCAGCCCAGTTGCTTTGAGTACTTAAACTATTAAGTCAGGGTTATAATCTGTTTTTCAACCTGTGGTTGACAGTTATAGGACTGAGTAATACTTGCATCTTCATTTTCTTCTTCTAAGAAGATCTTCTTTCACATTTATATGGCAGACTTTGTGGCTCTCTTTATATTGGAAGTAGTTGTGTTTCTTGGATTTGACTGGTAAACAGGTATTTATTTCTTTGTTTGGCAGGAATTTACTAAACAGTTCAGGCCCTGCCTATCTCTCTCTTTGAACCAGCACAAACTCTAAGATCCACCGGGAGGCCCTTCTCTCGCTCCCACCACCACCATCAGAGCGGTTGGAGGGGCCTTCTCGGTTGTGGCCCCCGACCTCTGGAACGTCCTCCCTAGGGAAATAAGACAGTCCCCATCCGTCTCCTCTTTTTTGTAACAGCTTGAAGACTTGGTAGTTTCACCAGGTCTTCGAGAACGAGTAATACGAGCTCCAGCCCCTGGTCGCTAGTTAGAATCTGGCCCTTCACCCCCACCTGTTAACCCAGTCAGTTCCCCAATAGGCTCAGGTAATGAACAGCTACAGGCCCCATGATCACTACTGTTGAGTCTGGTTATGCACTTTACCCATTCCCCTGGCCCCCTATGGCTTACTTTGCACTAGCTCTGGCCCGGCCATCCCAAATTGTCCAGGTCCTTTTTGAAATCCTGGCACAAAGAATAAGGTGGGATTGGTTTTACTGTATATGTATTGTGTTAATAATTTTGTGCTTATGTTTTCTGCTTGCTTTGTATGTTCTTGTGTTTTTATGATTTGGAAATTGCCCCGAGTCCCCTTGGGAAGATAGAGCAGTATATAAATAAAGTATATTATTATTATTATTATTATTTATAATATAGTTTTATTATTATTTGAAACACAACAAGATGAGTCCACAGCAAACAAGATCACTCTGCTGGCTGTTTTATTGGAGAACACATCGGACACTACCCAAGTGTCTAGGACTGTGTGATGTATCGGTGAATAATGCGTGCAGATCCCAGTAGGGTGGCTTTTTGCAGCTGGCAGATGGTAATCTTGTCAGCACCGATTGTGTTTAAGTGCAGGCCGAGGTCTTTAGGCACTGCACCCAATGTGCCGATCACCACTGGGACCACCTTTACTGGTTTGTGCCAGAGTCATTTATTATTATTATTATTATTATTATTATTATTATTATTCAACATTTTGCATATATTTCTTTCAGATTTGAGACAGAGCAAGAAGTTGATGTTTGAAATTCAATTCCAATAGGGAAGAAAGCAAAAGTGATAGATTTTTTTATGAGGAGTATAGAAGCTCACTTGGATGGGCAGGATACAAATGAGGAAACACTACCTCTGAGGATGCTTGCCATAGATGCAGGCAAAACGTCAGGAGAAAATGCCTCTAGAACATGGCCATATAGCCTGGAAAAACCTACAAAAACCCAGTGATTCCGGCCATGAAAGCCTTCGACAATACAACTGTGTTGAGTTGTGAAGGGGCACTGGAGCTATTGCAGTAAGATGAGGTATTGCGTCTATGTGAGAATTTTGCTTCAGCCACCTTGAAGATTCATTATCACACCCCACTGATCTCATTTCCCATGTAATTTAGTATAAACTCAAGACAAGACCAGGCAGATGTGTCCCACTTCAGCCTTAACTAGGTAGGATATTCCAAAACCAACATTGGCACTAAATGGCCTTTTCTTGTAAGTCCTTCATGAAGCAGTGCTTAGTCATTCTGATCCTTTTGAAAGTAGATGTCTTAACTGAGATATGCTTGGGATTACAGATGCTTCAGTGTACCAGCACAGCAGATCACAGGAAAGATGGCTGGATTGCAATGAAAAGACACGGACTTTTGGCCTTGAACTTTATACTGAACTCAACCCCAAAACCCATATTTTGACATTGTTGTGCCTCAGAATGGTTTATTTCATCCTGATGCAGGAAATTTCAAACAGTTGTCAGCAGGCATGTAGCCGGGGGGGGCGATCAGGGGGCTTCAGCCCTCCCCCGAAATTCTCATGGTGGTTCGCGAAAAAGGCCTTACTGGTGCATTATTTAAACTGTTATGTTTATTCATATCATGATCTGATAACCATACTCAATATATCCCATATGCATGAGGGTATTGGGGTAATGATACAAAAGGTTTGCTAGGCTAGACCCTCTTTCACTCAGACTCAGCCCCCCTCCCCCAAACGAAATCCTGGCTACGGGCCTGGTTGTGAGAATTAGGGAGAAAATATTCCAAGATACTAAGCAGTTGCAAAGTATTGTGGGTTGTTGTAGGTTTTTCCGGGCTGTACGGCCATGTTCTTGAGGCATTTTCTCCTGACGTTTTGCCTGCATCTATGGCACGCATCCTCAGGTACTGAGGTCTGTTGGAACTAGGAAAAAAGGGTTTATATTAGGGCTGGGCGGTTTCGTTTCGTTAATTCGTAATTCGTTAATAATTCGTTAATTTTTTCAATTACAAAACGATAACAAACCATTCTGGAGCATTATTAAAAAAACGAATTTTCAAAAACGTTTTGTAAATGCTTCGTATTTCGATATTGTATTCGTTTCGTTATTGTTTGAGGTCGTTTCGTTATTATTTCCGCATGTCTGGGCCAGTTTTATGGTTTAATTAGTGAAAAAAAATTATAATATCACACCAACAGTCAACAACAGAGGGAGAGGGAAGCTTCAGAAGGTTTGGGAGGTTTTTTAGCGTATTTCGCGGTCGCGTCCGCCATTAACGAATGGATTCGTTATTGTTTCGGAAATCGATTCGTTAATTTTTTACCATTTATGAAATTTCCTAAATATCGAACTTTTTAAAAGGAAAATTTTGTAATTATTTTAAATATCGAAACAAAAAAACCCAAATACAAATCGATTTTAGAAACAAATTTTTCCGTTGTTACCCAGGCCTAGTTTATATATCTGTGGAATGACCAGGGTGGGACAAAGGACTCTTGTCTGCTGGAGCTAGGTGTGAATGTTTCAACTAACCACCTTAATTAGCATTTGATGGCTTGGTAGTGCCTGGGGGAATCTTTTGTTGAGAGTGATTAGATGTGCCTGATTGTTTACTCTCTGTTGTTTTGCTGCTGTAATTTTAGAGTTTTTTTTTAATATTGGTAGCCAGATTTTGTTCATTTTCATGGCTTCCTCCTTTCTGTTGAAATTGTCCACATGCTTGTGGATTTCAATGGCTTCTCTGTGTAGTCTGACATGGTGGTTGTGAGAGTGGTCCAGCATTTCTGTGTTCTCAAATAATATGCTGTGTCCAGGTTGGTTCATCAGGTGCTCTGCTATGGCTGACTTTTCTGGTTGAAGTAGTTGCTGAAGTAGCTCCAGCAGATAAGAGTCCTTTGTCCCACCTTGGTCATTCCACAGATATATAAACCCTTTTTTCCTAGTTCCAACAGACCTCACTATCTCTGAGGATGCGTGCCATAGATGCAGGCGAAACATCAGGAAAAAATGCCTCTAGAACATGGCCATATAGCCCAGAAAAACCTACAACAACCCAGTGATACCAGCCATGAAAGCCTTCGACAATATATTGTGAGTCTATCGTGCACAGCAGTCATGTAACACAATCCGACAAAGTCCCTTGTAATGTAGGGGTTTGGAAGAAGGTAATGGAACAAACTGTTTGTGATCCACAAAATCAGGTTTGGAAATACATTTATCTGAAACCAATTAAGGTAGTTTTAAGTAATTCCAGGAAGAAGAAAATACATTAACAAGTGATGGAGCATATTTTTAATCTAAGCAAATTCTAAGGAGAACAGCCAGGATGTCTAGACATACACTTCTTATTAAGGAAATGAAAGATTCCTCAGTATGTAGAACCATTAATGAAAATAAAATGCATGCTTTCTTATGGTGCCGTGGCATTATTAGAATCTGAAAAGTCCTTCTCAATAGCATTTTGATGCTTATATCACTGTCTTTTTTTCGACAGACTGCACCTTGGAGGATGTTACTCGCCCATGTTCATCTAATTCCTCAATGATTGTTTTAATCACTCTAGTTCTCTTTGTTTCTGAAACAAACAAAAGAAGAGTACAGGTAATTAATTTTTTAAATCTCCAACAGTATTTTTGGATAAAACACAGAATATAAAATGTATATAGGTCCTAATTTGTACAATGAAGTGGGATTCCCCCCCCCCCCCCCCCCTGTAAAACTGCCTTCTGTTCATCTTTTTGGCTGGGATATACCAAGATCTCTTCCTAGCCAAGGCAGAAGGTCTGATAGCAACCATTACAGCCTACTTTTTTCAAGTTCACCATACCTTCTAACCACATTTTCCACACTATTTCTCTACCACTTGCTCAATCCATAATACCTTTCTCTGAGGCAATTGTATCTCAAAGGCATTGTGGGCACGTTGGCCATGGAGATTGCCTGAGCTGTAGTGGTGTGCAGAATTCCATTTGGTAATTTGGGATTTGAGCAAATTTGGCAATCTAGCAGCCAAATTACTGAAAACAGACCAGGCAGGGCTCATCTGAAGCCTTAGCTGGAACAGATCATGAGCCGCCGGGTCTTTCAGCTAATGGGGGTGTTGGGGCTTAGAGGCACTCTACCTGAGGTGGAGGCCACAGTGTGTGGGCAGCCTCACAAATAAGGCAAGAGCAGGTGCTTGACGGTGGTGGCTTCTTCTTTCTTCCCTAGCAGCCTCCTACATCCCTCCCACTTGAGGCAAATAAGGTCAGAAAGAGTGAGAGAGAAAGAGAAAGACAGATGGGAAAAGCTTCCCTAGTCTTCTCCTCCAAAGAGGTCCCTTCTGGGAACACATTTTCCCAGCAGCACTTTGCATGGCGCAGGCATTGAAGGAGCCTCTACGCTCCCTCCTGGAGCATGATGGGAGCTGAGGTTTCTCTCTGTGTGTGTTTCTCACATTCTCCTCCCCTCTTGTGGCACACGCTGGTTGGGACTTCAATTTCCAGAACCCCCTCTTGTGGTGTTTTTCTTAAAAATGTTATGATAAAAATTCTCAAAAATCAGTGGATTTGTGAAACATTCTGAAACTTGGCACGCTTGCAGTTGGAAATGTGGCCTACATGTGAGGTAAGTTTCATTTTGATGGAGAAATGAGCCTCTAAAGTTTCCCCATTGGTGCCAATGCACCAAATCTTACCAGAACGAAAATTGCACTGCCCTCCAGATTTCAAGAATTTCTCAGAAAATGGAATGGGGGAGGGGAGCCAAAAACGGAACCAAAAATGATGTAGATTTGGGGTGTTGTGATGATTCAGGTAGTCCCCATAGTCACTCATCACAATATACCTCATTCTTGGCTTCTGGTGGGCTCTAAAGATACACATGCTATTTGTTACTCCATTAAAGAATTCCTACAATAGGGAAGTGACTCTCGTAGCTCTGTAGAGTCCACCAGTGCCTTGCTTAGGAGACCTCAGCAAGCTACTTTCCAGCTACAGTATTCGCCAGAGCTAGAAAGCCGCAAGTAAGTCTCTGGGATTGGGGCGGAGAGTCCCCTGGCTGGAGTTCCAATTAACTGCTCCTTGTGTCCATTTCTCAAGAGTAGACATCTCACTTTGTCCAACAGAAACCTCACCTATCTTCACCTTTTTAACTGATAGTTCCTCTTTTATTGCTTTTTGAACTTGTTCTCTTCATCCCATGCAAATGGAAGTGTTACCTTGGAATTAATTATGTCTACAATATTTTTCAATGACAAATTTGTCTTCCAATCAAATAGAAAACTATCAGAACATTTGGACATTTCAGGTCTTCCAGTATAGTTCATTGTTTGAGTGCAGTTTGCCATGATTTTTAGTTTCTGAGTTCCTTTCATTGCTGAATTAAATTTTAAAATGGTTTTAGTGCCCAGAATCATGTTAATGACATACATCATTTTACATCTCTATGTGCCCTTTTAATGGTTGTTACAGATGGTGTCATTCAACACCTCCATCCACAATTATTATCATTTACCTCCTTGTTAACTGAGGATTTTCCTCCACAGCCATTTAGTGGCTGAAGGGTGAGGTGTGCCTAGGTACTGCCTGCCTCTTTGTTGGTTCTACGCTCCATTTATGAAGCTAATGCACAAAAAAGCAAATAACCACTTGGGCTTCTTGGCTGTTATCTGAGATGGTGTATGAATCTGGCTGCAGAAACATAGCAAGATGTTGCTTATCCCCTCCCTGCTTCCACATCCATGGAGGAGGATATAGTGGACAGATGGATGTGATGAATGTAGAGTAATGCCTAGTAGAACTTTATGTAGCATCCTGGACAGTTTTTAGTATTTTGCACAAATGTTAGTTATCTCCGAACGTATTCTCCCCTATGAACCATCAAGATTATTAAGATCATCTGGAGAGGCCCTGCTCTCAGTCCCACCGGCCTCGCAAGCGCATCTGGTGGGGACGAGGGACAGGGCCTTCTCGGTGGTGGCCCCGCACTCTGGAACTCTCTCCCACTGGAGATCAGAACCGCCCCTTCTATCCTGACATTCAGGAAACAGGTGAAGACGTGGTTATGGAGACAGGCATTCGATGAGTGAGCCAACACCCTGAGATATGGATGGAAGATGATGTATAATCGATTTTAGTATGACGACTGACCATTGTAGTTATTGAATATATTTGCGGTTTCGTTCGTTAATTTTGTAATTCGTTATTAATTCGTTATTTTTGGCATTTACGAAGCGATATCAAAACACATTTTCAAACCCGGAAGGGTTTAAAAATATCGAACCGGCAACCCCCATAGATTTAACGAGCTTCCGCTCGTTTCGTTAATGGGGTGGAGGCTGCTGGAGTGCTGGTGCCTGGGAGCCAATCCTGCGCTCCCAAGCAGTGCACCGTGGGTCCGTGGCTGTTTGTTTTTGATTGGCCGGCGAGCCCTTTCAAAGCGGCTCCGTGCGGCGCGGCCGTAGCTCATTGCTGCAGAGGGCGAGGGAGTTTGCATTGGCTTGGCTTGGCTAATGGCTAGCAACTGGATTGGATTCATTCCTTGCTGCTGTGAGTGCTGCTTGCTTCATTTGCTGTCTCCCGCCTGTGTTTGGTCCACATTTGTGCCATTTTTTGGTTAATTTTCCATTTTAAAATATTTTTAATATTATTTTTAATATTATTTTTAATATTATTTTAATATTATTCTTAAAAAATATTCTAAAAAAGAAAAGACTCTTCTGTTGGTGTGTGCTCTCATTTGCTGTCTCCTGCCTGTGTTTGGTCCACATTTGGGCCATTTTTTGGTTAATTTTCCATTTTAAAATATTTTTTAATATTATTTTAATATTATTCTTAAAAAATACAAAAAATATTCTAAAAATCGTTAATATTTACAAAATTTCGTAAATACCAAAACTTTTTTGGGGGAAAGTTTTGTAATTATTTTAAATATCGAAACAAAAAAACACCCCAATTACAAATCGATTTTAGAAACAAATTTTTTCTTGATCAAACAGGCCTAATGTGTTATTGTAATATGAATTATGTTGTTTTTACTGACTGTATGTGATTTTATGGTTGGAAACCGGTCTGAGTCCCTCAAAAGAGGTGAGAAGGTTGGTATACAAAACTTTTAAATAAATAAATAAATAAATAAATCTAGAAAATATTGTAATAGATAACATTCTACTGGAAAAAAGATACTTGATGTTTCTCACACAAACAGGACACAATCCCATTTGTGAACTGCAACAGCTGTGAGATTCTTCCCATCAGCCGATACACCATTTAGTCAAAGATGTTGATGAAATTGTACCATGTAATGTGGATGTCCAAATCTACCTTATTGGTGTCTAAAAATTTTACTACTACAAATGCTACACAGGTAACTACTTCTGATGCACCTCTTCTTTCTACTGTATTGATAGAATGGAAGAGGGAAAGAGTCACTGAATGATAAGTTTGCAAAGAATGCTTGCACATTTTCCCATCATTGACAAAAAAAGGCTGCATCAACACCAAAGCTCCACATAAAATTGCCATATAATGTGAGGGTTTTTTAAATGGAAGTTTTAAAGTGAAATTAATTTGTACCATAAGTCTATATTTTTACATAGTGGGTTGCATGCTGCAAGTTGCTTCAATCAAGAAATCAATAAACAGCTTCCAAAGACCAAGAAAGATATTAACAGGAACACTTCAGCAAGAGAGAATCCAAAAGTGGCAGGTTAAAACTCAAGAACGTAATCAGTAGCTGAGACCAGATGAGAAGCTCCCTTCTGGGCACATAGAAGACTGGGCAACCCGGAGGGCTCTGAACAGGCTGAGTTCTGGCACCCCTAGACGCAGAGCTAACCTTAAGAAATGGGGCTATAAAGTGAAGTCCATGAAGTGTGTGTGTGTGTGCCTCGCAGCAAGAGTACTTCAACAGCCTGGCTGCCCAGCCATAGCAACACCTATTGAATGACTTCTTGTGTCTTTATTGTGTAAAATCAAGATCAGAATGAAATCCAAAGAAAATACCACACAAATCGGAAACAATTATAACTTGTAAGCCGCTCTTAGTCTCCTTCGGGTGAGAAGGGCAGCATATTATGTGTGTGTGTGCGTGCGTGTGTGTGTGTGTGTGTGTGTGTGTGTGTGAGAGAGAGAGAACATTTACAGCCAGCCTGCTAAATGCTCTGTTAGAATTAACCAAAAGCCTTTCGATTTCAAATCTCCAACACTGACCTTTATCTTTTTCTTTGGATGTGGAATTGGTGTCTATAGCTGCAGTTCCACTAGAAGTGGAGTCTCTTTCTGATCCAAGGCCTCTTGTGTCAGATTCTGTACCTCTTAATCCCAATCCTGTTCCAGATCCCAATGTTTTTGTGTCTCTGTTGACAAATTCGCTGTAAAACATAATATGATGGCTGTTGTTGCTGTTACTGAGTTCTATTTCATATGTTGATAGCATGTCAATATGAAACGTCTATGACTTCTATTTCATATGTTGATAGCATGTCAATATGAAACATCTATGGCTTATAGCACATAGATCTTTATAGAGTTGAAACATTATACTAATAAGATTCTGGGCAAGTGAATTTTAAAACAAGCGATCCTTTCTGCAGTTAAAGACTGTCTCAGACAATATTTGAATTGCTTGCATAACTTTCTTGCAGTTATGATGAATATCAACTCTGTTAGTGTGTTATTATCAGGAAGTAGAGTAATCTGGACAGCCTTCTTCTGTATCAGACAATTCCAAAAATATCTTACTGGAATTATCATAAATCTATAATATGTAATGGACCATATCTTCTCCTTTGTTTATACCCTATATGTAATACTTTAGCAGACTTACGTTGGCCTCCAATGCTGACTGTTTTGCATGTGCCAGCATGGTGTAGTGTTAGACTAGGATTCAGATGACTAAACTCAAATCCCCACTTACCAATTAACCTTGGACTGAATCTGAGAAAGCCGATCTTCCAACCAGATATACATGTATTCATTGAACTCTGTAGAACTTACTTTTCATTGGACACTTGTAGGTTTGCTTTTGTAAGTTACAGCTAGCTTGTAGGGTGTAAATGGGGTAGAGAACATCAGCTTTTTAAAGATTAAAGTCTAGCAAGTCCTTTTGATTTCTAAATCTTTCAATTGATCTTCTGGGTTTCTAACAATAGTGTTTCCTGCTAACATTTAAATTCTCAGTCCTCATAAGATCCAGTCAGAAATGACTTCCCCATAACTCTACAATTCTTCATTTAAATTGACCAAATGTGGTTTAGGTAATTTCTGAGTGGCCACGGTTTTGCATTGAGGAAGATAAATAATTTTAGGCTGAAAATGACACAGGCAAGTATGTATCAGATACAGAGTTCTATTGGAACCAATGACATCTTTGTCTATACATGCAACTTGGTTAGTGCTGATTGACCTGAACTATTGCATGAAAGAATGAGCCTGTTGAAACATAAATCAAGTGGCACACTGCCTCAACACACCATGGAACTCATATGGTTTGTACATTTAATCTTGGCTTAGGGAATGTTTGATGTTCAACAGCCAACAGTTTCCAACACTGCCAACAATACTAAGGCTGTATAAATAAAGCTTCAAAGATATTGCTGCTTTATGGGCACCATTAGGATGTGTATTTTCCCACATTTTTTATTGTTACCTTCTTTCTCCATCAATCAGATGCCGATAGGTCTCGATCTCATACTCAAGGTGGATCTTGACATCCAAGAGTGCTCTATAGTCTGCGTTCTGGGACTCCATGTCATCTCTCACCTGTTGTACTTGGGCCTCCATATTGGTAATGAGCTCTTGCATTTGCAAGAGCTGGGAACAGTAACGGCCTTCAGTCTCAGCCAGTGTGGTTTCAAAAGATTGTCTCTAAAAGGGAAAATTGGATACACTCATGCAAGCCTAACTTAAGGCAGCATTTCAAAGTGATTGTTTTGCCAACCTAGCAGTTCAAATGCATGCAATGCAAGCAGATAAATAGGTAGCACCTCGGCAGGAACATAAAATAGCACCCCATGCAGACATGCCTGCAACATGAGTGGAGATGGCTATGGACAACAGGCTCCTCTGCATGGAAAAATGGAACAAGAGCACCTCCTCATGGCTGGAATTGAGCATTGCCTCGAGGTGCTGGAGATGAAAAGGGAAAAGCCTTTACCTTGTCTTTGTATTGTATGTCATTGTTGGGCATCATGTAAAAAGGCATTGAATGTTTGCCTTATATGTGTACTGTAATCCACTCTACCTCCCTCCAGGGAGATAAAGTGGGATATAAATAAAGTTTATTATTAGTAAAGAATTATTCAAAAATGTCTTAGATAGACATTTGCATTATATAACATTTTCCCAAACTTGTTTCCTCCAAATCTTTGGCCATTTGGATATCTTTGACCAGCTGCAATCTTCACATCCTCAACAATTTTTGATTGGTATGAAAAACTTGCTTCCTACCTCACCCATGATTAATTTAACTATCTCATGAGCCAAAAGCGGGACCACATTTCTCACTGAGGTACTGGTGACTTTATGTTGCTTACAATTGTTCTTCATTTTAAATATTGCATTGTTCTTTCAATTTTTTTGCACTACAGATAAGATATGTGCAGGGTGCATAGGAATTCATTCATGTTTTTCCCCCCAAACTATTGTCCATCCCTCACTCGCAACGGTCTGAACGACTGTGAACCAGCCCTCTGCTTAAAGTTCTTCATTTTAAATATTGTATTGTTCTTTTGTTATTTTGCACTACAAATAAGATATGTGCAGGATGCATAGGAATTTGTTCATGTCTTTTCCTCCAAAACTATTGTCCACCCCTCGCCCCTAACAGTTTTAGGGACCATGAACCAACTCTCTGCTCATAATGTTCAAGGACTCCTGTTTTAAAGGAATATGACTATATCTGGAGATATTTTGATCTAAGGTCCACAAAAATAGTTTGAGATTACGTGCTGTCTAATGTTTTCCCCTGTTAGTCTAACACTTCCAGGAAGAAGCTCTTTAGTAGGAATCATAAGTATAGAATTGCAGATTGTCTGAAACCTCAGACTTGCAAGTCTCAAGCCTCTCATGTGTTTTGTAATTATAATCTCTATTCTGCACTCACCAAATATAGCAATTCCATTAATATTATAAGAGCAATTCTGTATGCATTTTTTCGGGTGGTGGTGGGGATTGTCTTAAGCTTTGCTCATAAATATCAGTGGATAGCAGTGTGCAAACCAGCCAATTGTAGCACACAGATTGCTGACTTACAAAGTTTAACCGAGGTCCCTGCACACAGCTGAATAAAATCCCACATTATCTTCTTTGAACTGGAATATATGGCAGTGTGGACTCAGGGCGCATCCAGACAGCCTCTTTAATATAGGAGTTACTGCAATTAAAAGGGGGCTGTCAGATGACATCTTGGACAAACCCAAATTAATTCACCACAAACCAGGAAAACCAGGTTTGTGGTGAATTAATTTATTAGTGGGTTTATTCCATGCCTTCTTGGAAGGCATGGGATAAACCCACTACTTCTGGTGTCTGGACTGCAGCCCTGACAGTATTCCCACGGTTTTCCGGGCTAAATGAGCCTGGAAAATTGTGAGAACACCAACCCCCTCACCAAAAGGCCCCAAAAGCACTGTAAAAAACAAAAGAACTTACCCAGCCTCCATTAGAGGGCTGCTGGAGCTCTCCTGGTGCACAGAAATGACATACCAGGAGAAAGGGAGGGGGGTAAAATTGCTCCTGCCCCCTTTTCTCTTTGGCCCATCATTTCTAGGCACCAGGAGAGCTCCGGCAGCCTTCTAATGGGGACTGGATAAATTATTTTGCTTTTTACAGTGCTTTTTTTGGGGGGGGGGTGGTTGGGGAGGGAGTTAGAGTGTCCGGGTGTGTGCGGATGGGCCCCCAGGAATATTTGCATTTTTAAAATACAAATGTTCCCAGGATAAATGCCTGTTTGGAAGCACCCTGAGGCCCCATATACACTGCCAGATAATCCAGTTTCTGAATCCAGGCTGTCTGTTTTGAACTGGATTATATGGCAGTGTAGAATCATAATTCAGTTTGAAGAAGATAATCTGTATTCATAAATTGGATTATATGGCAGTGTAGACCCAGGGCCCTTCCACACACCCATATAACCCAGAATATCAAGGCAGAAAATCCCACAATATCTGCTTTGAACTGGGTTATCTGAGTCCACACTGCCATATATTCAGGTGTGTGGAAGGAATCCCATTCTTCAATCTAATGCAGTGGTTCACAACCTGGGGTCCCCAGATGTTTTTGGCCTTCAACTCCCAGAAATCCTAACAGCTGGTAAACTGGCTGGGATTTCTGGGAGTTGTAGGCCAAAAACAACTGGGGACCCCAGGTTGAGAACCACTGATCTAAGGACAAGGCACAAGATAGAATACATTGTGTAGTAATCATTAGCATCTAGCTGAAATACAGTTCGCAAAATGTTCTATAAATGAGAGGTCTGTAGCTGAGTGAGATAAAAACATTTTATCTGGAAAAGACTTGTGCTCATACCAAAGCAAGCTGAGTTTTCATGTCTATCTCCAGACCCTGAAGGGTACGTCTTAACTCTGCAATCTCATTCTTGTTGGTGCTGGTCTCCTTGGCACTCATACTGATTGTTGTATTTAATTCGTTACTCTGCAATGATTAAATAACAGAATTTAAGCACACAGTGTTCACATCAGATAAAAAATCCTTTGGGCTGTAGAATCTATTTTTTTCTCCAACAATATATTAGTTCTCCTCTATTTGCAAAATGGGATCACCTGATATTCATTACAAGATGAAAGAACGATCACGGTACAGTTCTTGAGTGTTGACTTAGGATGCACCTGCATTGTAGAATGAATGCAGTTTGACACTACTTTATCAGCCTTGCCTCAAAGTTATGGTATCCTGGGAGTTGTAGTTTAGTGAGGCACCAGTACTCTTTGGCAGAGAAGGCCTTGTAAAAATACCTTTTCAATGAACCAGGTTTCAGCATCTTGACGATTTTGCTCTGACAGAGCCTCATACTCTTCTCTCATTTTATTTAGAAGTATGGTCAGGTCAGGTCCTGGGACGGCATTCATTTCTACATTGACATCCCTTGAAGTTGTTCCTCGTAGACCTCTTATTTCCTATGAAGAAAAAAGAAGAAAAAGTTAGGAAGGCAGTTTGGGGTAGGAATGAAAAAAAAGAAAAAGAAAGTCTTGAAATAATTGGACCTAGATTTAGCCGTGTGCTTACAGTTAGACCTATTAAGATCAACAATAGGACAAGTAAGCTAAGAAGACTTGCAGCTATAATTGTGGTGTGCTCTCAATCCAACCCAGATTGTTTTCATAGTGGACCTTTATAATCTATATAAATAAAAATGTTCTGTTCATTTGTGGGATTAACAGAACTCAAAAACCGCTGGACAAATTGACACCAAATTTGGACACAAGACACCTAACAACCCAATGTATGTCCACTCAAAAAAATTGATTTTGTCATTTGGGAGTTGCTGGGATTTATAGTTCAGCTACAATCAAAGAGCATTCTGAACCCCATCAACAATGGAATTGAACCAAACTTGGCACACGGTTCTGCCATGACCAACAGAAAATACTGTAAGGGTTTAGGGGGCAATGTCATTTGGTTCTGGAATTGTAGTTCACCTACATCCAAAGATCACTGTGGACTCAAACAATAATGGATCTGGACCAAATTATACATGAATACTCAATATGCTCAAATGTGAACACTGGTGGAGTTTGAGGAAAATAGAATCTTGACATTTGGGAGTTGTAGTTGCTGGGATTTATAGTTCACCTACAATCACAGAGCATTCTGAACCCCACCAACGATAGAATTGGGCCAAACCTCCCACACAGAACCTCCATGAGGGCCACAGCAACGCGTGGCGGGGGATGGCTAGTCTATATAAATAAAAATGTAATGTTTTTTTTCCCCAGCTCCAGCAGACCTCACCTCTGAGGATGCTTGCCATAGATGCAGGCGAAACGTCAGGAGAAATGCCTCTAGAACATGGCCATATAGCCCGAAAAAAACCCACAAGAACTGAGTGATTCCGGCCATGAAAGCCTTCGACAATACAATGTAATGTTCGTTTGTGGGATTAACATAACTCAAAAACCACTGGTCAAATTGACACCAAATTTGGACACAGTACACCTATCAGGCCAATAAGTGACCATCACTCATTAAAACACTGAAAAACACAGAAGAAGAGACTTAAAAAGCCAAAAATAAAATAAAAATACATTACATTACAATGTATTCACATAACCACATAAATGCACACATACACAAGTACACACACACACACAATATATACACAGACGCATGTACACAGACGCCATAGCTATTCGTGGCAGGGGACGGCTAGTAGTTAATAGATTTTCTGCATATGTTCTTTATATACATTGAGAAATCTGAATTGGTCTAAAGAAGTGCTAGTTCGTATGATTCAACTTGTTAGTTTTTGTGTTTTGCAGATTGTTGCTATCAATTGTTGTGAAACTTTTCGAGTTATGTTTTTTGTAAAAATTTTGCTTGTACACAAAAGGGTTTTTTTCCTGCAAACCCCCCTTCCCTTTTTTCTCTACAAACAATTTTGTCTTTGGCCCCACAAAATGTCTAAAACTCTTGTCATCTCATCCATCAAGGTGAAAGCTTTTGAAATTCCTTGTTCTTGCATGCTAGGATGAAATAAATGAAGATGTACAACCTTAATGCTGATGAGGGATAGCTCTTTACACTGTTGCTATTGTACTAAAGCTGGAGTGACTATCTATCTCTAACAATGCTGAAGAAATTAATCTCTTGGAGAGATGAGTCAGAGCCTGCTTTGCTTCTGTTTGCATAGATATTATAGACGACAGGTTATGTATCAGTTACTGGCAGTCATTACTGATAATACTTTGTTCTCTTATCTTGGCTGAACCCACTGGTTTTGCAAGTCCTATGAGTGGCGAAATTCCCAATTCTTTCGTTCCGCTTTCATCTTAATCATTAAGCATATAATATTTTATAGACCTTTTTATGGTGTTAAATTCTGCTGGTGCTAGATCTTCATAAAGTTTTCTTTTAAATTAACTGTCACATAAATGTTTCAAGCATGAATGCTTCCAGATACATTGCCCAATATAATTTTTGTGTGAAATCAGTTTCACACGTACCATATTTCTTTGATTCGAAGATGCCATGAATTTTAAGACACACTCTAATTTCATTACCACCAACAGAAAAAGAATACATATACATATTTAAAAGCATTCTAAGACTCACCCCATTTTAGAGATGTTTATATGGGCAAAAAAGTGTATCTTAGAACTAAAGAAACTCAGTAGATTAACACATATTGCATTTAAGTACTGCAGACCAGTTTGCAGAGCAAGCCATGTAGCACCCAGTGGTCATCCTCCAACATATTAAGACTGCTTGCTCACTATCCTGCCCAACTTCTACTTTTTGTCTGCTCAAACAATGGTACAAACATCAGCATTGGTTTGTGAGTAGATATTTACATGTGCACCCATAATATATGAACTTGCTGCTTCATCATCTACTTATTTCCCTATTTATTTATTTATTCATTTATTTATTTATGACTTTTGTATGCCGCCCTTCTCATCCTGAGGGGACTCAGGGTGACTTACAAGTAATATATAAATACAATATATTATATTATTACCATAGCACAATATTTGTATTATAAATTATGATATTGTACTATACCATTATACTGTAATATTATTAGTAATATTACATGTAATATAAAATACATAATTATAATATTGTATTATTATTAGTAGTATTATATTGTATTATATTACAATATTATCAATATTATATCTATATACAATATATTATAGTATATTAAATTATATTATTAGCACAGTGTGGGAGACAAGGTGGAACTGTCTTCCTGGCCCCCTCTCTTCAATCTGGTCCCAGAGCAGCAATTTGTGTTGGGGGAAGCGGCTCCCAAATGATGACACAGGAGACAAGCAAGATGCAACTATCTTCTGGCCCCTTTCTTCACTCTGGTCACAGAAGTTTCCCTCCGCCTTTTTCACCCAGTTTGTCACTTTGATTTTCACCTCGTCATTGCCGAAAAAATTTTTTTTCCACCAAGGTGTTCCTTCCTATGGCCCCTTTTTGATGGTATGGGAAGGAAATGGTGTGTAAGCCAATTAACAGAGGACCTTTTCACATGGATGAGATCTAGTATTGCCATTCGCCTGCCTCCATGGCAAATTGGTGCAGTACCAGGGTGATACTAGGACCCTGGCTGACGCTTCCCCATGATAGTGTATCCTGGCAGTCCTGTTGTTTCTAATGGAACAGGGGGAGGCTCCTGTGTTGGTGGCTTCACTTCACCCCATGGAGCCCTGCTGGAAATCAGCCTATGTCATCTGATCGGTGGCAAGGGACCTCATGGATTAACTGGGGCAGAAGCGTCCTAGGATGCTTATATTTTCATGTGTTATGAGGTCTCAAGTCACTAAGAAGGAAACATCACTGCAACCATGTCACAGGCTCTGATGGATAGGCATCCCTGGGAGATTTGGGTGCAATGGCTGGGAGCCACTGCTGTCATTGGAGGCAATTGCTTCACTCTGTCTAATAAGAGGTCTGGCTTTAGTAACTTTTAGGGATTGTTTATATTGGTCCCAAACACTGTACTAATTGCAAAAGAACTTATGACAATCTCCATGATGCACAGTGACTGCAAGTGAGTATTTTCTTTTGTTATACTCCGACTTTTCTCTGCTTTGGGAGAGGTTGGGAGATACTTCAGAGTTTGTTGGAAACTCTGGGGCATCCTAAGGCTTGGGCCAGTCCAGGATTGAGTCTGATTCTGCATGATCTGCTGTTGAGATGGACATTGCTGCCACCATACATTCCCTACACTGATCAATCCAGGAAAAAGGGATGGTTCATGTCCAAGTTACTGCCAAAGCCAATAACAGTGTGCCCATGAGAACAGTAAGAAGGAAGTGGGTGATCTCACCTTCTTACTGGTCATACGGGTGCCTTGTTATGACATCAGAAGAGATGCTCACAGTGGCCATGAACTTGGATGGAGCCCTGTCGGTGGATAGAAGTGGCCCAAGCTGTGCTGAATTTGGGAGTGCTCATAGGTCAGATTTACACTGTGCTAACTTGCCCAGTCAAGATGCAGTCTTAGTCTGCTGCAGTAGTTTGTACTTAGAAAAACAACTATTATAATTTCATCAGCACTAAACTGAGAAATGCTTAGAGTTGATACCAATTCAATCAGAATATGTAAAAGTTTTTTGGACTATGGAATGCCCTAGACAGAATCCCCAGCATTAGTCATGCTGATGTAAGAAATCCTGAGGCTTGCAATTTAAAAAGTAGATTTTTACGCTGCTGAAATTAATATGTTGCTTAACTTAATACTAGCAGCATTTATATATAGTTCATTTGACTAACATATGAATATTGCTGTTGCTAACTGAGCTCTATGTAATTATAGATCCCATATTATTTCTTCATGGCTCTGAATTCAATCATTGTGAAATGCCACATGTCACAAGATGCTTAACTTAGCAATATAGCCATATCTCTCCATTTGTGAGTTAAGCATTATTGTATTTGTTGCTGCTTTCTCTTCTGTCCTGTATGTGACTTAAAATATGTTCTCTCCAGGCATTTCTAGGTCTGCTGAGGTTTACAATAGAACCATACCGGAGGACCTCAAATGTCTTTCTATTAAAAAGCAAGAAACAACAAATAAGAGCATGTGCAATTTTATTTTTTTTCTCATTTTTGCAAAGATCTTGTGCTTCCAACCCTCATAATGTTGGGGCAAAATCTATATAAATAAAAATGTAATGTTCGTTTGTGGGATTAACATAACTCAAAAACCACTGGATGAATTGACACCAAATTTGGACACAATGCGTGTATCAGGCTGACAAGTGACCATTGCTCATAAAAACACTGAAAACACAGCAGAAGAGACTTAAAAAGCCAAAAAATAAAAAATACATTACAACTCATGCACAAAACCACACAAACACACATATATACACATATACACAAATATATATACACTCACAAAGCATATACACAGGCTGGGCCACAGCAACGCGTGGCAGAGTATGGCTAGTGTATTCATAAATGAGTAAAATGAATTGCACAGTTCCTATATTGCTCTCTGACCTCTAGAAGCATTGTAATGTGATTTAACCAAACAAGCCCCTTACCTCATCATGGTTCTTCTTGAGAAAAGCCAGCTCTTCAATCAGACTTTCAATCTGAATTTCTAGATCACTCTTGGATAGAATCACTTCATCCAAGACTTTGTGAAGACCATTGATGTCTGCCTCAATACTCTGGCGAAAGAATACCTCATTTTCGTATCTTAAAAAGAAAGTAAAAGAAAAGGAGCCTTTTGCTGCCAAAAAGATTTGCTTAACAGTATTTGACTGTCATGCCCTCAGATCCATCGGCTGATTGTTTTTGTCTCAGAAGCTGTAGTGACAATTTAATCTTTTAATGTGATGATTAATAATTATGGTCATTTTTTTCTCTGTTGAGGAAGAAGACTAACATTCTTTCTCAGTATTCTCCTTGTAGTCCTGAACCAGTTTAGAGAAATTATTCTGTGGATCAACATAAATGTTTTGATGTGTAAAATCCTGTTTTCTGTGACAAAATTCTGTGATTAAAACCATGTGTTTCTTTCTCCAGAATAATTCCTCTGTAACACTTTGGGACATTTGAATGTCCTGAGATGATTCCAAAACCACAAAATTCTCATGGTCTGTTATTTTTCTCAGCAGAGTTTCCTGACCATCAGGAAATCTGTATTTTTTTAAGTGAGAATTAATAATTACAGGTATTATCGAAGGCTTTCATGGCCGGAATCATTGGGTTGTTGTAGGTTTTTCCGGGCTATATGGCCATGTTCTGGAGGCATTTTCTCCCAACGTTTCGCCTGCATCTATGGCAAGCATCCTCAGAGGTAGTGAGCTTGCCATAGATGCAGGCGAAACGTCAGGAGAAAATGCCTCCAGAACATGGCCATATAGCCTGGAAAAACCTACAACAACCCAATAATTAGGTACAGGTATTATTTCTAGCCCTATGAGGTAGTGCTTCCGAAAAAGATTTTATTCTGCAAACTCCTCATTTCTGAGCTAAACTATATGCTATGTTAAGTAGCATGCTTCAGAGCCACAACTTTCTTGCACAATACAAAAAAAGTGAAAAAAAGGAAAAAGCAAACAAAGTGGAGGAAAAAATCAACTGCTGCCAATTGAGTTTTCGTTCTTTCTTAGGGCTTGTCTACACCAGCTGCTAAATATCTACTTGGCATTTAGGAATTTCCACTGCTTACGGGTAAGGCAGGTTAATCTGATTTAGCCCTGCACTAAAGAAATTCAGGAAATAATCCAGATTTTAGTGAAACTCCAGAGCAGACCTGTGGGCAGCATGACCAGGTCCAATGTGGAATGATTCGCTGTCCACATAGGCCACCGCTATTCTCTTGAGACAGCAGCAGAACTCAAAGAGAGTTTGTGGCAATTGTGGGCATCCACATGTCCAGGGAGAAGGAGTGGGGATTGCCTTTTCTATCAACATGGGATGCCTGTGATGGCCAGCAATGGCAACAAACAACAAACAAACAAAAAACTTTATTTATATACCGCTCTACCTCCCCGAGGGGATTCAGAGTGGTTTCCAAGTAACATCATCAATACATACAAAGTAAACAACATAAACATAAAATTAACAAGACAATATAAGCATAAAAACCACAATAGCACATATATATTTAAAATAATCCTGCCTGTTCATGGCAATTTAAAAGACCAGGCCAAGGCTAGTGCAATTTGTAGAGGTGCAATGCTATAGCAGGCCACAACAATAAAGTAAAGTCTATGGCTGTTCATTTCTGGGGCCTAATAGGAGGAAGTGATCTGGGTAATTGGTAGAAAAAAATATGGTCATATTCAACAGTATCCGGGGCTGAGCTAGAACTAGTCATTCTCAAAGGCTTGTTTAAACCACCAGGTCTTCAAGCTCTTACGAAAGGAGGGATGGGGCCTGTCCTTTTTCTCTAGGAAGGTTGTTCCAGAGGTGGGGGCCCACCACCAAGAAGGCCCTCTCTCTTGTCCCCACCAACTGTGCTTGTGACGGTGGTGGGAGTGAGAGGAGGGCCTCCCTGGAAGATCTTAAAGTTTGCGCCAGTTCAACAGGGATGGAATTGGTCTTGGTCTGGCTGAAGTGAGCAGGCTTTGCCTTGCCACTATTGTTTGTGTCTAAACATTTTTCCAATTGTAAGTGACCCATTCACTCTTACTTGAATAGGAAGTTCAGTCACATGCTGTACATTTACATTTTACTCCTCAAGCATGAGTTTTTTAAAAAACAGGGAACCAGGCATTGTCACCTTCCATTTCTAAGGACCTCATCACATTAGAGAATTTTAGCGTCCTAGGATACTTGCAGATTGCTAGGAGTACGGAGCCTGCCGGAGCCCATCAAATGATGTAGGGCTTCTTCTGGTGGGACTCCGTACTTCCAGTGTTCTGCAAGCATTGTAGGACATTGTCCAGATAACATGGGAGGCTTCCCATGTTCTCATAACAAAGCACAGGGGAAAGCTGGCTGGCAACGCTTCCCCCTGTGAGATGGGTAAAGAGGTGATGCAGGGCGTGAGGCGATGTTTTCCTCCACTAACTGACAAATTTGCCACACTACCTGGTGAATCTTCCCTGCTATTTCCTGCAAATTGGACCTCAATGTGATGAGGTCCCAAAACTTTTGTTTTCCAACAATTCTACATTTCTTCTTGTTGACATGTGTTGACACGCATGCATTAAGGTGGAATATCTGCACAATGTCCTTTCTTTACACAAAAGTTACTTTTCTGGGCTACTTTTCTGGTCTCATCAAGTTGGCTAGTGAATTCAGAACATTGTAGCAACTTTTCTTAACCCAGCATGCAATTGATAATGGTAGACAGCAGACGCTATTACTGTAGTGGAAAAGCACCTAACAGTCTTGCTTGCTTTCTTTGCCATTTACAAGTGCAACGAGGTGTCCTCTCCTTGAACTGAGAAGAAAAACTTACTTCATTCTGAAGTCATCTGCAGCCAGTCTGGCATTATCTATTTGGAGGATAATGTTGGCATTGCTCACACTTGCTGAAATGATCTGTATGGGGTGGAGGAATAAAAACATGAGGGAACTGAAATTGGAAGTATTCTTTGGCAAGTTCATTAGGATTCAACATGTTTTATCAATGTAATTAAGTTGTCTGAAGAGAAAAAGCAACACCTGCAGCTATTCCTCATGCACTAAACATCACCTTGATGGATTTTTTATTTATTGGATTTATTCCCGCTTTTTTCCCAGAGAAAGGAATTGACTCATTATGATATGTGTCTCTGTACAAAGTGTGCATTATCTTGAAGATAAATTTGCTGCTGAAAATGGCTACAATCCAAAATATTTTCCAGATCTGATACCTTGAACCCAAAGATTATCCTGACTGTGAGAGCTGTTCAGCAGTGGAATTCTCTGCCCCGGAGTGTGGTGGAGGCTCCTTTTTTTTGGAGGCTTTTAAACAGAGGCTGGATGGCCATCTGTTGGGGGTGCTTTGAATGTGATTATCCTGCTTCTTGGCAGGGGGTTGGACTGGATGGCCCATGAGGTCTCTTCCAACTCTACAATTCTATGCGGCAAACTATGTGTTATCTTAAATGCACAGTATTTAGTTCCCTATTATCTGAGTCCAATAGATACACCCAATTGTGGGAGCCCACTGAATGTATAGGAACTTAATACAGGTTAAGCACCCCTTATCCGGAATTTCAAAATCCAAAACACTCTAAAATATGAAATTGAACATGTGAGTGGCTAAAATAGTGATACTTTTGCGTTATTATGTGTCAGTGTACACAAACTTTCATGTACAAAACAATTTAAAATATTTTATGAAATATGCATGAATTTTTATGGTTAGACTTTGGTCCCATTTCCAAAATATTTAATTATGTAGGTATACATTTATACAGAAGTTCCAAGATTCAAAATACAAAAACAAAATACAATCCAAAGCACTCCTGGTCCCAAGCATTTCAGATAAAGGATAATCAACCTGTAACTGAACACTTATATAAGATCTATAGCTCTATAGATTGATGGATCTAATCTAGTTGAAACTAAATCTACTTGGATGTAGGCAAATCACAAATCCAGCAGGACAACAATGTTTTTGCCTTGAAGTATCACATGACATTGTTCCTTTCCCACCACTCTACTAGTGGGAGACAGCATGGAAAGCATTTTTTATAAACTCAAGTAAACTTTGGAAAATGATCTTCAAATAGATTCCCACTAGGAGAGTGGCAGGAAAGGAATGATGTTATGTGATACATCTAATGCAAAGATATATCTGTCCTGCTACAATTGCGATTTGCCTGCCTCATGTGATAAACGCCTTAGACCAGTGGTTCTCAACCTGTGAGTCCCCAGGTGTTTTGGCCTACAACTCGCAGAAATCTCAGCCGGTTTACCAGCTTTTAGGATTTCTGGGAGTTGAAGGCCAAAACATCTGGAGACCCACAGGTTGAGAACCACTGCTTTAGACTGATATATTATTTTCTTTATCACAATGTAAGTATGTAGGAGAAGGAGTGATTTAGATTTGAACTTAAGCACAATTGGAGGTGTAGGACATTATCACATGAGGCTCATAACATTTTATTATTTATTTATTTATTTACTAAATTTGTACACCGCCCTCCTCAGTCCTTAAGTAACTCAGGGCGGTTTACAATGGCAACGATTCGATGCCCAAAAACACCATAACATAACGTACATTGCAGCTTCCCCAACAATTAATGGAATAACTTATCATTGCATGATTTTGTTCAACTAATCTGTAACCAATGCTTTTTAAAAATGAACAGGGGACTCTTTTATTTTTAGGCAGCTGAAAGTGCTTTGAATCTGTGTTCAACATATTTTCAGGTATGCAGTAATTCCAGAAGCGTCAATAATGATTAGGGACTGTGATGTGTCACTGTGGATGTGGTAGGTGCATCACCTTGAACTGTTTTACTTCCCCATTGCCATAGTGCTAATTATTTTTTTTTTGTGATCAGACTGAGAGGAGCTCTGACTGCAAAGCCATAACTGCCTCTGTCTCCCTGTTCTCTTCCTTTTAAAACTTAATTTACAAAACTGCAAACTTTTGCTGTTAATTCCAGGCAGTGATAGGAATTTCTCTCTTTGATTTGACATTCTCATATTGTTTGCTAACTCACCTTTGTTCCCTTTCAATCGGGGGGGGGGGGGGGCCTCAGGGGCCAGATACGGCCCTCCAAGGTAATTTACCTGGCTCTCACTGTGCTTTCAAGTCTGAAATGACTTGAAAGCACACAACAACAACAACAACAAACAACAAAAACAATCCTATCTCATCAGCCAAAAGCAGGCCCACACTTCCCATTGAAATACTAATAAGTTTATATTTGTTAAAATTGTTCTTCATTTTAATTATTGTATTGTTTTAAAGTGTTTTTTGCACTACAAATAAGATATGTGCAGTGTGCATAGGAATTCATTCATTTTTTCAAATTATAATCCGGCCCTCCAACAGTTTGAGGGACTGTGACCTGGCCCTCTGTTAAAGAAGTTTGACGACCCCTGTTCTAGAAGCATTCTCTCCTGACATCATACAACCCCCTCTGTTGCATACTACATAAACCAAGAAAAGGTTTCTAACTGCAAAATATATCTTTCCTGTTTATTAATTGAAATAATTCATTTTGCCATAGCAGACAGGTCTTGTAAACTAATAGCCTGTGCAGGTTTTGCAATTAGAAGTAGCCCTCTCTCTTGCAAAATACACACTCCAGGGGTCCTCAAACACAAAAAAGGGAAAGGTTAGTAAAGACAAAATTAATTTTTCCTTTTTTATTAATAGTGAAAGTATTTAAAGGAACAATGCTTGTGAATTTGAAGTATTTAATTGCAAAGCCCTAGTCTTGCAAGATTTTGAATGTATGGGGTTGCATAATCCCACCAGGAAAAAAAAAAATATCAAAAAGGCAGTTGCAACAAGCTAAACATGCTTGCAAGTTATTTTACGTGCTTGAGGAACTGATTGGTGCAATAAGTAGAGTTGTTATCCTGGCATGCTCCAGCTCAAAACCAAGATGGGTTTGTACTTTGTAATGCCAAACCCATTTTTGCAACCTTGTGTGATAATATTCTTAGTCTTCCCTGTATGTGATCTTTCTTCCCATATATCCCTTTGCTGCAGTTATCTTTGTAAGACATTCCAGGATGTTTTTTTCTTTCTTTCCTAAGGGAAGAGCAACCTGAACAAGTAGAATTCAATTACTCTATGGCCTCCAGTCCAAGCCAGGCCAATGTCTGTGTTTGCTTTTGGTTAAAGAAAAATTATGGAGGGGAGTGTTGTGTGGCTGCCACAGATGCAGGTGAAACATCAGGAGAAAGTGCTGCTAGAACACGGCCATACAGCCTGGAAACTGCACAACACTCCATTGATTCCAGCTATGAAAGCCTTTGACAATATATGAAGGGGATTGCTTTCCCCCTTCACCCCCTAGTATTACTATCTTATCTACTATTATAAAGCTCATTTATACTTACCCCGAAGTGTACATTAGCATTATAAAACAACAAAGTATAAAGCTTTACTTCTTGTGAAGGAGGCTGTCACAATATATTGATGGGTGGGCTTGGGTGAACAAATTCACTATTTTTTTGTTTATTTTTTTCTGGCTGCTTGTAATAGGCCTAACTAATAATATACCCCATACTGTATATTCCAGGGGTCCTCAGACATTTTAAACAGAGGGCCAGGTCACAGTCCCTCAAACTGTTGGAGGGCCAGATTATAATTTGAAAAAAAAAACATGAATGAATTCCTATGCACACTGCAGATATCTTAGTTGTAGTGCAAAAAACACTTAAAAACAATACAATAATTAAAATAAAGAACAATTTTAACAAAGATAAACTTATTAATATTTCAGTGGGAAGTGTGGGCCTGCTTTTGGTTGATGAGATAGGATTGTAGTTGTTGTTGTGTGCTTTTAAGTCATTTCAGACTTAGGTTGACCCTGAGCGAGGGCTGGGTAAATGACCTTGGAGGGCCGTATTCGGCCCTGGGCCCTAGTTTGAGGACCCCTGGTATACTCTGTATTAATTTAATATTAATATTAAAATTCAATAATTAAAAACAAATTAAAATAAATTGATTTTATTGTAATTTTTATTGAAAGTATTATTTTTTGAGGGTTTTTTTTGCCTGCTCAAGAGAATTCTGATTGCTTCAATTCCATTTATCTAAGAATTTACTGTATAATGATATGAACAAACCTGCCAGAAGAAAGATCATGCTCAAGGTCCCATTCATATGACACATTAATATCCGGTTCTATTCTCCACCTTCAGAGGCATAAGCATTTCATTGATAACTCTTGAATGCTGGAATCACACCTTTCTTTGTCGTAAAAACATCTTTCTAAAAAGCATCATCTTACCTTGTTTCGAAGTTCATCAATGGAAGCGTAATATTTGCTATAGTCGCGGAATCTTCCATCAGTCTGAACTGCAGTTTTCTCATACCAGTTCTTGATTTTTAGTTCAAGTTCACTGTTTGCTTCCTCCAGAGCATGTACTTTAGCCAGATAGGAAGCCAAACGGTCATTCAGATTTTGCATGGTTTCTTTTTCCCCACCAGAGAGAAGTCCCCCATCAATGCCAAGAGAACCAGAAGAATTGTAAATATGAAAGCTACCCCCAGTGCCAACTCCAATGCCACCCCATCCTGATCCAGCACCCCAGCTACAAAAACTTCCTGCAGTGGACCCACCACCCAAGCCATATGCTCCACAACTAGAAAGCTTTGAAGATGTTCCACCACTGTGAGAGGAGAAAACCTGCCTAGTAGACCCACGGCCAAAATAAGACATGATTTTAAAGTGCAAGAAAAAATTGTGAGTGCAAGAAAAAGCAGGAGCGTTACCCAAGGAGATCTTGAAAAGTAGGGGTAGTCTCAAGCTTTTATATGCTGATTTTGTAAGGGTGTGTTCTTCCTTTGGAACGTCTTTTCATAGTTGCGTTGTTTGTTTGGCCAATTTATCATCTCAGGCCAGCATGAGTGATGGATATTAATAATAACTAGACAATATTCCAGTTTGTTCATTACCCCCCAGGCCATTTGTGATTTTTTCCCTACAACTTACAGAATGGGTGGATTTGACCAGGGTGAGACTTTCATTATCCTTTCAGCTAAGTTGAGTAATTCCATCTCATCCCATCCTATCACTGTTTGTGGGTTTTTTTAAGCTCATCATTATAAACATATTTCTTGGCGTTCCTTAGCCTTCACATTTGTACTTGCAACATAGCCTCCTTTGTGACAAAAGGGCGTGCAAACTGCTTTTTAAGGATGGCTCAGTTGAGTTGTTTTTTTCTCTTCACTTTGGGTGGTGTAAAAACTTCTGTGTTTTGTTGTATCTCTGCAAAAGCATCCTTGCATTGTTCTAGCTGCCTAGGTTTCTAAGACAGGAGGTTTTTTATTTCTTATTATTTCTCTAAGCACTTTTCTGTAGTACCAGATTTTAATCCCAGAAGATGTTAGTTTCATTTCCTGAAGCTCTTGTTTTGTTTTGTATTTGCTTTCACATCATAAGGATCCAACAAATGGAGTGCTTCAACAACGAGCTTAGTAAAGTTTGGAACACTTGGGTGAACAATACTTTGGGAATTAAGAACCACAGAGCAAGAGAAGAGATCACTTGTACTTAATCAGTCTTCATGATATAGGTATTCAAAAGAATCAATTTACATAATCCTCAGGGATAATGTTGTTAAAAGATTCAATAACACATTTTAAAATGTCAATTTTCTGTATAATTCTATTTTTACTCCCATGTGACTCAGAAATTTGTGTTACCCAAATGTTCTTTTTGATTGTCCAGAATGGAATATAAGTATTAGTCCAATTCAATGCATATTCTAAGGGCGCATTCACACATTAGTCACAATTTCCGATATTTATGAGTTGCCGCTTAAGCAGCCGGATGCAAATGTTGGCCTATTTTCCTCACTCCTGGTTCATTTATTGCATGCCCCTTTTGCCAGCTCCTAATTCAGAATGGGAAACAACCAGAGACAAATTGCAGCGGTGGGTTCAAATATTATGACAAGCTATGGATTTAACAAAACACACACACAAAACAGAGTTTGTAATTCAGTAAGAAGGGCTTAATTTGTGGTTTGAAGATAGTTAAGAAATACCCCGAAGGTGCCAGATCCTGTCTGATCTGGGAGGCTAAGCAGGAACAGGGAAATCAACAGGGAAGTGCTTCTATCCTATCTTTTGGTGGTCAATGGTAATTTCTAGGGGTGTGTGTGTGTGTGATTTGTCAAAAAAGTCAAATTTTCAATCCCGTTTTTGTATGCCCCCCCCATTCCATTTACTGGGAAATTCCCAATACAGGGAGGGGGAAAATACCATTCCATGATCTAGAGCTCCATAATTTTTATAGCTATAGGTACAAAAATGGCCACACTGGAAAGACACATTTACAACTGCAAGCCCCCCAAATTTCAGAACATTCAGGGCTTTTGGGAGTATTTTTAAAATATTTTAGGAGGGAAGAGGAAGACTACTAGTGCAGAAAGTAGGCCTGGGCAGGGATTGAAATTGAAATAATATTCTCCTGTGTGGATTCAAGGGAGACAGGCTATCCCTCCCTTCCCTAAACCTATCTTATGCCATAATCTTATAACTGATTTAATGATCTCAGTCAGGCCCGTAGCCAGGATTTCGATTCGGGGGGGGGGGGGGGGGGGGGGTGAGTCCGAGTGAAAGAGGGTCTTTCTTTTTTTTTAATAATTTTTATTAGAAGTTTTTCAATACAGTACATTCAATACAGACGATCATTCAAAACACATGCCAACTGCAGTAGACATTGGTTAGTTCGTACAACTTGCTTATTGCATTCATCATCGATAGCTTTCCCTATTATCATATTCTTATCCACGAAATTTCCTCGTATATATAAAAAGAGCTCTATATAAGCCTATATCTACTGTAGCCTACACTCTACACAATCATAACCATGGTGAGAGGAAAAGGAATTGGATGGGTCAAAGGTTAGGGAAGGGGGAAGTGGGGGGAAGTGGGGGAAAGAATGGGATGTGATGTGTGGCTCAGTCATCCATAGAACTTCCCAACAGTACAGGGGGTATCTTCCGACTTGTATTTTTAACTATATATTTTCTATCTTATTGCAGTCGTCGACAACCAGTACCTTATACCTTTAAATTTTTCTTTTCTTTGAGGTAGTGTCTGAGAGGATTCCAATCTATTCTTCCCTTTTCACTAATATTCTCTATCATATTAGATAATATGTCTAATTCCATAAAATCCTTTATCTTAAGTAACCAAGCCTCCAAAGAGGGCAGCTCCCTCAATTTCCATTTACTCGCTATTACCGTTCGAGCTGCTGCTGAAAGATGAAACAATAGCCTCTCCTTGTTTTTTTCGATTTCGAAATCTAAAAGGTGCAGGAGGTAGTACTCCGCCTTTAGCTCAAACTTTATTTGAATAATCCCCTGTACATTTCGGTGGACCTCCTTCCAAAAGAGTTTAACTTTTTTGCAATGCCACCAACAATGTATAAATGAACCTACTTTGGTGCCACATTTCCAGCATAGATTACTTACTCCTTGGTGAAATTTGGCCAGTCTTGATGGTGTGAGGTACCAACGTATAAACATCTTGTACCAACTCTCTTTAATAATTACTGCTTTGGTAAGTTTTATTTTATCTTTCCAGATGTCTTCCCAGTCCTTTAGCAATATGGTGTGACCCAAGTCCCGAGCCCAGGAGATCATATTTTCCTTGATGAGTTCCTTTTCTGTCCTCCATTCCAGCAATTTTATATAAAAAGTTTTTATTACTTTCCTCTCCTTCCCCATTATCCTATCCCAAAAAGAGTCTGCTGGGGCAAAACCTATTTTATTGTCCTCTTTAAAGCTGTCCGTTACCTGATGGAAGTGGAACCAGGAAAAATTTGCATCTAAAGACTTCAATTCGTCTATTGATTTTATACTATATTGGTTTTCTTCCTTGTCAAGTAGTTCTTTGTATGTATGCCAACTACAGCTGGGGAGCTCCCTTTTATGAAAGGCCTCCGTGGGCGACACCCAGAGAGGTGTTTTGCCATAGAACCTAGTTTTATATTTCTCCCAGACCTTCAATAACGGGGCTCTAATTATATGGCTGGTAAAGTTCTTTTCTATTTTGGCTTTCCCATGCCATAAGTAGGCATGCCAACCTCTCCTTAATTCTGCACCCTCTAGATTCAAAAGCTTTCTCTTTTTTAAGGTGGCCCACTCCCTTACCCACACCAATGCAGAAGCTTCGAAATATAACTGAAAATCCGGTAAAGTCAGGCCACCCCTCTCTTTTGAGTCTATCATAGTTATGTATTTGATCCTTTTGTTTTTTCCTTGCCATATGAATTTCTGCATGTCCCTTTTCCATATCACAAAATAATGTTTGGTTCTAAGTATCGGAAGCATTTGGAATAAAAAGTTCATTTTTGGTAAAATTTTCATTTTTATCAGGGCCACTCTCCCCATTATACTTAGCTTGAGGTGTTTCCAGTTTTCTAGTTTCTTAGAGATTTCCTTCCACGTCTGTTCATAGTTATTCTTTATCAATTGTATATTACTTGCTGTCAGGATTATTCCTAAGTATTTCACTTTGTTGGCTATAGTATAGTGCGAGATCCTCTCCAGTTCTAGTTTCTTGGGTCTACTGATGTTCTTTGTTAAAAGCTTAGTCTTTTGTTTATTTATTCTTAACCCTGCCACCTTTCCATAATCTTGAATCTTTTCTATCCAGTTTGTGATGTTCTCTGTTGGATTTGATATTATACAGACGATATCGTCCGCATACGCTTTTATTTTGAACTCATCGTTTCTTATTTTTACCCCCTTCAGATTTACATCTCTCCTAATATCTTCTAGGAGGATCTCCAAGGACAGGATGAATAGGAGGGGGGAGAGGGGGCAGCCCTGTCTGGTGCCTCTTCCGATTTTAATACTATCCGTGATATGACCATTTACTCTTATCCTGGCACTTGGAGTGGTATATATAGCCTTTAACATCTTATTAAATTGGTAGCCCATATCTTTTTCCCTGGCTATATGCATCATAAAATCCCAGTTTATCTGGTCGAAGGCCTTCTCGGCGTCTAAGAACAAAAGGCCCAATTCTCTTTGATGGTTAATTTCATGGAATTCGATAATGTCTATTATTGTTCTTATGTTGTCATGCATTTGTCTTCTTGGAAGAAACCCATTTTGGTCTTCCTTAATTACCTCGTTGAGGTAAATTTTCATCCTACTTGCCATTATGTGTGCAAAAATTTTGTAATCAATGTTCAGTAAAGCAATTGGCCTATAGTTCCTAACATTATCTTCCTCAGAACCTGTTTTATGTATTAAAGGAATAAACACCTCGTTCCAGGATTCCGGAATTATGGCTTCATTTAATATGTTGTTGCATATTGTCTTCAAGTGTGGTGACAGTTCTTCTTGAAATATCTTATAATATAAAGCTGTTAATCCATCCGGCCCAGGAGATTTGTCCATAGGAAGGTTGTTAATAGCCCTGATTACCTCACTTTCGTCTATCTGTTTATTTAGTAGCTCCCTTTGTTGTTCAGTGAGTTTATCCAAATTATGCTTTATCAGATATTTTACTATTTCTTCTTCCATTATATTTTCTTTCTTATATAGGTCTTTATAAAATTTACAAAATTGATTTCTTATCCCTTCCTCCTCCGTGTAGGAAATCCCTTCATTGGTTATCCTCATAATATGTTGGGTTTGTCTTTTTTCCCTAAGACTCTTTGCCATTAGCTTACCCGGTTTATTGGCCTGGGCATAATACTTGGCCTTCATATATTTTAGATTTTTCGCTATATATTCCAGTTGGTTGGAATCCCTTTGTTTCCTCAGCATCTCTAGCTCTAATTTAGCTTTTTTATTACCTGGTTTCTTTTTTAGTAGGTTCTCTTTTTCCTCGATATTCTTTGACAGAGTAGTTAGTTCCTCTATTCTTTTTCTGTTACAAATTATTCCTTGTTGAATTAGGTGGCCTCTAATAACCGCCTTACCGGCATCCCATACTACTTCACTTACTCCCTTGTTAGCGTTGAGCTCAAAAAATTCCTTAATTTGGTTTCTACATAAAGTCACATCTTCTTCTTTTTTTAACAAAAATTCATTTAGTCTCCAGGTTCTCTGCCTTTTGGCACCAAGCACTTTTACTGTTATTGGGCAATGGTCAGAATTACTCCTGGGCAGTATTTTGATCTCTTCTATTTTGGTTATTAACGTCTTAGATGCCCACACCATATCGATTCTGGACCAAGTGGAATGTCGCTCTGAATAGAAAGTAAAATCTTTACCGGAAGGGTTTTTGACCCTCCAAACATCCTGTAGGGACCAATCACTTTTTAAATTGAGGAAACTTGCCGGGAGTCTCCCACAGTTTTCTTTTGTTCTCCTTTTTCCTGTTTTGTCAATCTTACATTCCAACACCCCATTAAAATCCCCCAGGAGTATCAGATTGTCAAATGCCTGTTCTTTGAGTTTTTTTTCTCAGGGTATTTATGAAATTTGTCTTGGGGCCCGTGGGGGTGTATATATTACAGATAAGTATTAATTGATTTCCTAAGTTAATTTTGATGCCAATAATTCTCCCTTCGTTATCTTTGAAGGCCAGAGTGGCTTTATAAGAGCCTTTAACCCCCCCCCTTTTTTTTGAGTGGCCAAGGAAAAAAATTCCTGACCTATTTGGGGCTGAACCAGATACGAGCTGTGCTTGGGGATGATATGAGTTTCTTGTAATGCAATGATATCATGATTACTTTTTTTCAGGGTGTTGAATATGAGTTTTCTTTTATTTGGGGAGTTCATCCCATTTACATTATTGGAATATATTGATAAGCTCTTCATCTTGCGTTGGTTGATTATTCTTTCCTGAAGGTCCCATTCCTTTATCTCCCTCTTCTTCTTCTAATGACTCCGGTCTTGGCCTTTTCTTGTCTTTCTTATTCCACTCTTTTTTCTTTCCCTTCTCAGTCCTGAGTAATTCTCCTCCTTTAGTTGTTTCCATCTTTTCCTCCTGGTTGCGGTCCTTTTCTAAATCTTTCATTAGTTCTTTATGAAATTTTTTAGCTTTATCTTCAGATGTTAGCCATAGTCTGTTTTCTTTGTATGTAATTTGGATTCCTTCTGTACGCTCCCACCGGAATTTGATTTTATGTTTTTTAAGTTCGTCCATTAAGAAGTAATATTTTTTCCTGTTGTACATCGACGCCGAAGAGAATTCCTTGAGAATGATCACTTTTCTTCCCTTATAGAGTGTTTGTTCCTTAGATTTCATTTTTAGGATTTCTTCCCTAACGCATTTTCTACTAAAACTAACTACGATGTCTCTTGGGACACTATTTCTTCTAGCGTAGTTAGAGTTTACTCTCCTTACAGAATCTATTTCCTTGCTAATCTCTTCGATGGGTAGTTTCAAGATATCTGCTGTGATCTCCACTATTATACTTCTTAAATTATCTCCCTCTTTCTCTTCTAAATTCCTTTATCTTAATTGAAATTCCGTTTCCTTACTCAACATCAACTCCTGTTGTTTCTCCATTTTGTCATTCTTTTCCTCCAAATTTTTCATTTTAGCTTCAGTTTTTTCTTGGGCTTTCTTTAGCTGTACATTCTCTTTTTTCAATTCTTTGATTTCCTTCTGTGCGCTTTCGAAGTCTTTTTTCATCCCGTCCATGTCTTCTTTTATTTCCTGCCTTAGTTTCCCCATTTCATTGTGAAATAATTTTTCCAGATTGGTTTGGGTTTTGGCTTGATTGTCTTCAAATTTTTTTCCAATATTTTCTTGTATTTTCCACATTTCAGCCATTAAATCTCTCAGCGATATTTCCCCTTGTGTGGAATGTCGTCTTGCTGGAGTAGGTATTGCTATTGAAGTAGCTCCCTGAAGCGCTTGGGATGATGCGGCCGCCAACAGGGTATTCGGAGTTTTGTTTTGTTTAGATACTGTTAAGAATTTATCCAACTTCCCCTCTGCCATGTTGAGGGGGTATCTGCTATTTTTTTTGCTAAACTCTGTATCCTTTTATTTGCAAACTGACGCCTGTCACTGATGGTGTTAATGATGATGAATGATGTTCCAGTTTGTAATAATTTAATTTGTGCATAGAAGGGTTATATCTTGATACTTAGATTCTGTATACTATCCTATATCAGTCAGGGCGTTGTTACAGACCTCTTTTACATTCGTTTCCTCTTCCTTGTAATCTTTCTTTCTTTTCTCTTCCTCTTCTCCTCCTCTTGTTCTTCTCCGCCTGCCCGTATGGACCGGTATTCTTTTCTTACATTTTCGTACTAAACTGTATACCCTCTCCCTCTTGTTCCTTCTCCCTCCTTCCACCCTCAAGAGGTTTTTCTTACCAGCTTTTGAGGTGGTCGTCCTATTAGTTGTTTCTTCTCCCGCACTCCGCTTCGTCATGCACCTCACCCCTTCACTGCTCTTCCTAATCGCCTCTCTTGTCGGGGCGTTTGTTATTTAATCAATAAGATTCTGGGTCTCGCGCTCAGGCTGTGTGCGTCCCCGCGTCACCACGTCCCGCCGATGCGTCTGCACGCTGCAGCGTCGCAGCGCCCCACGCACAGCGTCTCTGCGTCTCCGCGTCTCCGCCGGCGCCCGCACTTCCCGCACCTGGACTGCCTCCTCTGGTCTCCTCCTCTTAAAGGTACCTCTGAAGGAGTTAATCCCTTAGTCCTTGAGCGGGGGTTTGGGGTCGAATATTCTTATAATGGCTTGTAGATGAGTAGATGGGTAGAGGTTGAGGGAGAAGGGATTGGAAGAGGGTTCTGCTGAGAGCTAACCGATAACCGATAAGAGCGGGAACCAAAGGCCTGCCTTGGATGGCTTGTAGTTCAATTCAGTTCAGTTCAAGTTCTGTTCTTATTGCTTTCCTGCACTTTTCTGCGAATCCTCCTTGGATTTCTCCCCTTAGCAAGTTTTGTTGCTGTTTCCTTTCTTCCTTAGTAGGTGAACTATTCATTGACGCTGCATCTATATCCCCGTTCCATGTTGCTTTCTTATAATCCATTTATCTTCTCTTCATTATCTTATCTTCTTCAAAGGTAGAAAGTAGAGGCTGGCGGCGTTGTCGACCCTCCTGGTCGTGCTCCCCCTCGGGGCGCTCACTCTCTGCTCTGCCAGGCAGGAGTTGGCCGCCTCCCTTGAGGGGAGACTGCTCCTCCGCCCCCGCAGAGCTAAGAGAGCTTAGCTACCAAACCGTCCTCACGTCCAACGGCTTGTGGGGTCTCTCTGAGCCCCTTTCCCTTGTGAGGGGTGCAAGGGTTTCTTAGCTTCCAAGCGGAGCTTCAGAAACCCACTCCTGCCGCCATTCCGCCTCCACCGGAAGTCTGAAAGAGGGTCTTTCTTAAGGCATCTAGCAAACCTTTTGTATCGTTACCCCAATACCCCCCATGATATGGGATATATTGAGTAGGGTGATCAGATTATGATATGAATAAACGTAACAGTTTAAATAATACACCAGTAAGGCCTTTTCATGATCCACCATGAGAATTTCAGGGGGGGGGGCTGAAGCCCCCCAAGTCCCCCCCTGGCTACATGCCTGATCTCAGTTAACAAGTACTTCCCCAAGAATAAATACTGAGTATTTATTCACATTTAATTTCTAAACAGGGCATTCCTGTGGGTGGTCTGCTAATGCTCTTTCAGGTGGTGTGGCCTCCACTGGAATTAGGGGTGTCTTAACTCTGCATCATTGGAAGGGTCTTGTTTGCAAACAATCCCAGAGAGAGTGATGCCTTAAGAAAGATGGCTTCACTCTGCTTCATTTGAAGGGTTTTGAGGGCAAACAATTCCAGGGAGAGTGGTGCCTTAAGAAAGGTGCCTTTACTCTGCTTCAGTGGAAGACCAGCTTTGCAAAAAGACGTATGATCTGCTTTCTTTTTGTGATTGGCTCTGTCAAGGCTAATGGAGAAAAAAAATTGCATATGCCTGCTCTTGTCAATCATGGGGCAGCCAGATGCAACCAAAGGATCGGCTTTCACTTGGTCAATACCGGCTAAGCCTTTGGCTGCCCCCTGCCAGGTCCGTTTCCGGTGGTCTGGCAGCTGGATTACCAAATTTCCCCAAATCCCGAATCGTGACATACAATTGTTCACATCCCTAGTAAGTTATTTCAAACAAATATTTCCAATATGATAGGCTTTCTATAAATCAGGATCAACTTGAAGGCACAATTTCAGGTGTTCTGACCAGTAAAAAAAGTGTAATTCACATTTTTCCCAGAAGAAAGCCCTTTCATGCAATTCAGCATACAGTGAGTCTAGCCTTTTTTAATTGTAAAATTTTGATAAAACAAATAAAAACAAAATCAGCAGAAGTTTCCCACCTGCCTTTCAAGAAACGGAAAGCTATGAGAAAATGCTAACTCTGGTTTGAAGGTTCTGTTTTTTATTTGCATCAAGTTTTTTTTCTTGGAAACAGAAGCTAACATCTTAATTCTCTCTGATAGCTGTGAGTTGAATACAATTATGCTGTCACTGCATAATGGCAGTTGATTTTATGCTTGTGCTTTCAATGTACTTGCTAATTGTTTTTTCTGCTTTCAAAGTGCAGATTAGTTCCATTTTCCCCTCTCTCTAATTAGGTAAAGCCTGACATCACCGTTGAGAAGTTAAATCTTCTTTTCAGTTCAGCTAAATGTTATATATATTAAAACATATACACATTGCCAAAACCTAAAAGAAATCATGTTTTTAAGCCCACAGAGGGATGTTCTATTAACCTATTAGTCATCTCCATCAACCATGGTCATCACATGTACAAAAGAAATTAGTATTGCTTATGCTTGTTCCTTCAAACATTTCATTCCTTCCTCCAACTAATATGGGTTCATAAAGGTCAAGACGTGACATTTGGAGTTTAGCTAAAACCCTTGCATAACTTTGGATCAACTTTTCAGTGTCTCTGGTGGCTTAAGTGTTTCTGTTTTATTTCTGCCATTTCTGGAAATGGAATGCAATAGGACGGGTCCTCTGGAGATCTAGCCACACTGTACTTAGGCAACAATGCTTTCAAAATAATTCAAGACATTTTGCTGTCTGAGGCAAAGAACAAGATGATCTTTCTTCTATTCCATGCCTAAAAAACATGGGGACTGGCAGCTGAATCTTTCTTCAGTACTGGTGATAGGACAACATACCACCCATGCTAGCTGAGGGGACACAGCTTCATTTCTCTGACATGTTGGGCACTCAACTCTCTTCTTTTAAAAACCATCAACCAACATCTACTGCCTGAAGAGACTCACCCCTTTTGCCTAAGAGATGGGTTGTTTCAGTCATGAACTACTATGTAGACATGAGAGCTTCATATCTTGACCCAGAACATACTAGAAAAATCATGACTGTTAAAAAATATCTTGAAGGCAGCCTGCCTTGACTTCTTATTCAATGCAGGATTCTTGAAGTAATAGCATTTATCAGAGATAGCCATCCAGTTTTGACTTGAGTATCAATGCAGAGCTATTACCTCATATAACAGCCCAAACTCTGGAACATTCCCTGACTTCTCTCAACACAGTGTAGAACTGGGTTTTACCTCATGTTATTGACCAGACTCCCTGGATGTCATATGGACATCTAGGAGTGACTTCTTGGCCGATATGGGGTATAGGTCCAATGTAGACAAACCTTGCTATCCACAGTTCAACCAATTTACCATAGTATTTCCCTCCAATAATCTCCAGTCCTGACTCCCATGCTCAGTTGAAAAACTCCAGTTTTGCTAGTTGACTTTCAGGGTCAATTCCTCCCTTTCTGTTACTCATCCAGTCAAGCAACATTACTACACCACCCTGATCCGCACCTTTTCCAGTTATCTTTGGAAGCCTTTTGCTATCTTTGATATATTGTCAAGACTTATCCTCCCCACCCAGCTGCTTCACTTGATGCGGTCTCTCCTCCAGTGTCACAAGTGAAGCTATTCACAATTTCTCTGCTCACACCTCTTTTCACTTCCATCTCTTCTTCCCCCTCTGTTGTTCTTGATGGAATTGTTATGGCTGCTCATCTGACTTCTTCATATAGACATGTTCCTTCTCCATATCTGCTTACACTAAGGTCCCTCTTATTTATTTATTTATTTATTTACTGTATTTGTATACCGCCTTTCTTAGCCTGTAGGCAACTCAAGGCGGTTAACAGGGTAAAATTCAATGCTTACAATATCATAAATACAATTAGAAACATAACATACAATACCAATTAAACATATCACTAAAATATAAATTCATAGTGTCTCCTTCTTAAAAACATTGTCCGGTCTCATTGTCGTCATTCCATTTTCCTATGTCAGTTACTCTGCATTTGGAAACTCTTGTTCGAAAAGCCACGTCTTGGCTTTTTTCTGGAATGTTAAAAGGGAGGTGGCTGATCTAATATCTATAGGGAGGGCGTTCCACAGCCGAGAGGCCACCGCTGGGAAGGCTCTGTCTCTCGTCTCCGCCAAACATACTTGTGATGAAGATGGTAACGAGAGCAGGGCCCCCACAGATATTCTTAAGTTCCTAGATGGTTCATAAGGGGAGATGCGTTTGGCCATGTAAGTTGGGCCAGAACTGTTTAGGGCTTTATAGGATAAAGCCAGCACTTTGAATTGTGCCAGGGAGCTGCTGCAACAGAGGAGTTGTACGCTCCCTGAGCGCCGCTCCTGTTAGCAAT